CAATATGGTCGACACTGTCGTACTGCTTTCAGCGTTGCTTGCTTGTAGCTTGGTATTCGACTAGGTCGTGTCTGAGCAACGTTGATGCCTAATCAGTGAACTTAATATTCCATATGCCATAATTAATTGAAATACATTGACTTAAAATGCAAACTTGAAACGCTATTGTAAGTTCTTCAAATAGAATGTTTTTATTTGGAGGAAATATTTCACAATATAGGCAAATATCGATATACCTCATTCCACAAACTATACAGAATGTAATGAACGACATATAGTTTAGACCCTTTGACCATTATGATGATGACGTATAAAACATGGAGTCGTCGGATGTACGTATTCACTGTGGCAGCAGTTTGCAGCCACAGACAACGGCGTGATTGATTGCAGAGCTATTGCAATTGATGAAGAAGTATGGCAAGTTGATGGGGTGAAAGAAATGCCTTCTCGGATTCGTATATAGAGGTCGATAGAGGCGGGGTCAGTGTCCAAAACAACGGTAAAACAGGGCATGGATGCACGTATGTGTCCATACAATTGTACTTTCCAGCTATTCCCGGTGAAATGACCCGACATATTCTTATACCCATACTAATAATCTATAAATAAAAACGAGTGGCCGTGCGTGATTTATTTCATGCGTATTCAATAATATGCATGGTGAAAAGAATCATTACTGATGAAAAGCGTTGTTTTTCGTGAATAGTACATACATCTAATAACATGCACCGTATCACTATGATACTCTGTGTTAAACCTTCTTTTTAAATTTTACCGTTAACTCTCTCATAAAATATGTATTCACAAAGTCCTTTCACGAAATGCTGTCCAGGCGCTCGTCCATGACTAGTAATACGACTATATGGCTCTAATGTTATTACCCCAATCTCGACAAGGCGAAGGATATTTTCATAAAACATTTCACAGATATAGTCATAATCATATCAAAGACATTTGTCAAAGATTACTTGGAGACGATATTGATTGCAGTTCTCTTTTATATTCCTATCCAATTAACTATATTAATACAGCTGTCATGATATTGTATTTATTACTTTCAGTTTCTGCCAGTTCACAACCATTGTTTGTCTGGCTAGGATACAACCCTCGTGTATCCTGTCTCGTGGTTTCTTGAAGATATACTCATGCCAATAATGGTTGTCACCCCCTCCTCACCCCAACCCCCGCACACCCCACATCCCACCCCAAACCCCTCTCCAATAAAAAAATTGAATGGGATGACAACCATTATTGGCATGAGTATATATGTATGGCATTGTATACGTGGAGAGACGCTGTAAATGTTGAGAGACTCTGTACACATGGAGAAAATCATCATTTGTTGAATAATAGGTTTATCACCACACCGCCGCCATATAGCTGAGTGCGGCGTTATACAACTAACTAACAACAACAACAACAAGCCATGAAAGAACCAATCTGTATTGAGCAAACATCTCACCCATTATTTCTTCAGATATGTTTTCTAAATAAACACGTAAATATGTTAATGAGTGGGTTTTTACGCCGCTTTTAGCAATATTCCAGCAATATCACAGCGGGAAACACCAGAAATGGGCTTGACACATTGTACCCAGGTGGGGAATCGAACCCGAGCGAACGCTTCAGTCACTAGGCTACCCCACCGCCCCAATGTACATGATGTTAAAGGATGTGATGCCTGGTAAGTAAGCTGCTCAATGTTTCCAACTGAATATATTCAGATCGTAAGATGTTGCTAAGAACTGCCTGGCATCACCATCAGAGTAACACAAAAAGGACATTAGTCCCAACGAGGTGGACGGGAAATCTTCAAGACCCGCGTACAGCAGATAACAAATAGCACACCTTTTACCACAATCACATAATCATGAAGAATAAAAATGATCAGCCTCAAATAACCTTTGTAATAGCAAACATTTGGTTGTTTACCGTGGAAAAAAAGCATGTGCGGCCAACAAAACTGCTGAAGGCATTTCAGGTCGCCATTAAAGTATTATATGTGCGGAAATGTATTGGGTTTATTCAGGTCTCCAAGCGCACGTTCTCTCGCAGTTCATTCTAGCTCATCCTGAAAGGTGATCTCTCTCATGCACAGCCATTTATATAATGAAATGTAAATAAACCCTACGTAAAACTGACAAGGCCTAGCACACATTTTGATCATTATAATGACGACAATGTTACATCGGTCGGCAATGCACGGATTTGTGAAACGACGTTGGAGATATCCGATATACTGAGTGAGTGATATGGTTTACCGCCTCTAGGAGCACTATTCCAGTTTGATCACATCCATGAGGGCGTGGCTCGCGTGCCTCGGGCGTGCTCCGACGTCGCTGATCGTGACACGTGCGGCCAACCTTGATTTCCTGGCACTGATTCCATTGTTTCAGGATATAGTTGAAAACGTCGACACTACTCTTGGGAGAGATGTGGAATGTGTTAAATGTGGATATGGATGTTTGTGTTAAATGTGGATATGGATGTTTGTGTTAATGTGGATATGGATGCTTGTGTTAAATGTGGATATGGATGTTTGTGTTAAATGTGGATATGGATGTTGGTGTGGGATGTGGACATGGATGCTGGTGTGGGATGTGGACATGGATGTTGGTGTGGATATGGATGTTAGTGTGGGATGTGATATGGATGTTGGTGTGGAATGTCGAATGCTGATATGGATGTTGGTGTGGGATGTGGATATGGATGTTGGTGTGGGATGTAGATATGGATGTTGGTGTGGGATGTAGATATAGATGTTGGTGTGTGATGTCGAATGCTGATATGGATGTTGGTGTGGGATGTGGATATGGATGTTGGTGTGGGAGGTGGATAAGGATGTTGGTGTGGGAGATGGATATGGATGATAGTGTGGATGTTGATATGGATGTTGTGTGGGATGTGGATATGGATGTTGGTGTGGGATATTGATGTTGGTGTGGGATGTGGATATGGACGTTGGTGTGGATGTGGATGTGGATGTTGGTGTGGGATGTGGATATGGATGTTGGTGTGGGAGGTGGATAAGGATGTTGGTGTGGGAGATGGATATGGATGATAGTGTGGATGTTGATATGGATGTTGTGTGGGATGTGGATATGGATGTTGGTGTGGGATATTGATGTTGGTGTGGGATGTGGATATGGACGTTGGTGTCGATGTGGATGTGGATGTTGGTGTGGGATGTGGATAAGGATGTTGGTGTGGGAGATGGATATGGATGATAGTGTGGATGTGGATATGGATGTTGTGGGGGATGTGGATATGGATGTTGGTGTGGGATATTGATGTTGGTGTGGAATGTGGATATGGATGTTGGTGTGGGATGTGGATATGGATGTTGGTGTGGGATGTGGATTTGGATGTTGGTGCGGGATGTGGATATGGATGTTGGTGTTGGATGTGGATATGGATGTTCGTGTTGGATGTGGATATGCGATGTTGGTGTGGGATGTGGATATGGATGTTGGTGTGGGATGTGGATATGGATGTTGGTGTGGGATGTGGATATGGATGTTGGTGTGGGATGTGGATATGGATGTTGGTGTGGGATGTGGATTTGGATGTTGGTGCGTGATGTGGATATGGATGTTGGTGTTGGATGTGGATATGGATGTTCGTGTTGGATGTGGATATGCGATGTTGGTGTGGGATGTGGATATGGATGTTGGTGGGGATGTGGATATGGATGTTGGTGTGGGATGTGGATATGGATGTTGGTGTTGGATGTGGATATGGATGTTGGTGGGGATGTGGATATGGGTGTTGGTGTGGGATGTGGATGTTGGTGTGCGATGTGGATGAGGATGTGGGCGTGGGATGTGGATATGGATGTTGGTGTGGGATTTGGATAAAAGATGTTGGTGTGGGATGTCTATACGGATGTTGGTGTGGCATGTCGAATGCAGATATGGATGTTGTGGAATGTGGAAAAGTGAAATGTGGAATGTTGATGTTGGTGTTGCATGTGGGATGTGGATATGGAAGTGAAAAAGTTCTTATAAAGCTTCAGTAGCGCTGACTGCGGCGCAGTAATATGGGTTTTCTCAGTTCTTCCAACTCCTCTGCATGTGTAGTCATGTGTGTAGCATGTGCTGGTGTCAACTGGACATCAACCAAATACAAAAACTAAGAATTTCAAATAATTAAGTGTGCTGTTTAACTAGATCTGTTAATAGAGGTAACAAAACTTAAGACAATAGCGACGTTTCGGTATAGTTTATTATACCGTTTTCAAGCATCTAATTACCAATTATAGGTGGACTAATTTTCTATTTTTGGGCTACCAAAGGTTTTTGAGAATGGCGTAACTGTTCCACGTTATGTAAATATCCCAATATGACCTTTCCCTCCATTCCATATATACCACAGTCATTCTCAGTCGTTTTAGTAAATTTTTAGGCTCTTTTTACACATCTTAGATAGGGCGACAACGCGACATATTTTGACCTTGAAAATTGTCGCATTGTCGCCCTTTTGAGGAATAGAAAAATATTATTCAAAACGCGACACGCGACATCGCGACAATGAGACAAATGGCCGAAATGTCGCGTTGTCGCATTGTTGCAATGTCGCGCTTTGGTTAATTTTGCCTCATTGTGCTTGTATTTGAGAGGGCGACAACGCAACAATGCGACAATGTCTCTTCCAGTATTCCATACGAAGTGCCTTAAAAAACATCACATTATAGTGTATGTATGCTGAGAGAAACAAATAAAGGATCTTAAGAAAATTGAAGCGTTCCTTTAATATTTTCCAGTTTTCATCACCACATCACTATTCAAAGCTAGTGAAGAAAACTGGAAAATATTAAAGGGTCGCTTGAATTTTCATGTGATCCTTTATTTGTTTCTCTCAGTATATATATGACATGAGTTGCACTGTGTCTATGTATTCGCTTCCTGTGCATTCTGAAGGCTATTAGATGTAATGTGTTTGTATAATAGGAGTGTTGGATTCCGTGTGAGCTGTCATTCGCTTCATATGTTTACATATGAACTGTTGCAAGTCCCATGTGAGGCACTATGCAAAGAGTGATATACAATGAAAGGTCCTGTGAGGTTCTGCAGGTTTCGAAATATGGTAAGTCCATAAGAGCAAATATCTCTGGAGGATTATACTCATATAATTCTTAATTTGAAAACAATCCTAATTGCTCGTTATCCAAGTTCTTATAATTTCATATCAAACAATATAAGTATGGACATACAAAAGTAAACGAATTTCATTTTTTATTTGTGAATGACGTAATGGGCATAACGTTTTCTATTGTTCAGTGTACACTTTCTTCCTTCCTCTATTTTGAGATCCATCAGTCCGAGCAAGTTAAATAAATAGACAAAGTATTTTATAGTGATTCATAAAGGCATAAACACAAGCCCATCATGTGGTAGCAATTGTACAATGCCTGAATGGCAAATACTATGGAATGAATGTAAAAACATCGCAATAATATCACACACTCCTACTTGACACACACTACTTGACTTATTACACAGAGTAGATGGAACGAGAAAAAACTTACAATACATATACTGTATTACAAATGTTGGTCAATTTTAATTTATTCATTTAGTATTGTTATGTTTGTATTGCTTGCAATCTTCAAGGAATGTTTTTTCTACCATCTCGTAAAGTTAGATTTTATGCGAAACACTAACTCGTCCAAATTAGGAACAAGAATAGAAATGATTATCGTAAATGTCTGTTATGCGAATAATTGTTATACGTTCCCGTCAAATATGTAAATGGAGGAGATAAATGTTTCCAGCTAAAAGTTACGACCTTATGTCCTATTTACCCTATGTATCATTAACTGGTCATATATAAACATACTTACTACGTGATTTAAACACTGACACCATGCTGCAACAAAGACCGTGGTCGGATAGAGGGGCATGGTGTATCGTGGTCGGATACAGGGGCATGATGTATCGTGGTCGGGGACAGGGAGATGATGTACTGTGGTCTGGGACAGGGAGATGGTGTACTGTGGTCAGGGACAGGGAGATGATGTACTGTGGTCGGGGACAGGGAGATCATGTACCGTGGTCAGGGACAGGGAGATCATGTACCGTGGTCGGGGACAGGGAGATGGTGTACCGTAGTCGGGGACAGGGAGATGGTGTACTGTGGTCGGGGACAGGGAGATGGTGTACTGTGGTCGGGGACAGGGAGATGGTGTACTGTGGTCGGGGACAGGGAGATGATGTACTGTGGTCGGGGACAGGGAGATGGTGTACCGTGGTCGGGGACAGGGAGATGATGTACTGTGGTCGGGGACAGGGAGATGATGTACTGTGGTCGGGGACAGGGAGATGATGTACTGTGGTCAGGGACAGGGAGATGATGTACCGTGGTCAGGGACAGGGAGATGGTGTACTGTGGTCGGAGGATTGTACACTGGTTTGAGCCCTACCTGCAACTGACAATGTATGCTGTATTGTTGTGGCAATTTGACTTCAGCATCAGTGTAAAATACTTCAATTAAACTCTTTTTGAAAGAAAGGGTGACACAGAGACCAAACACCCGTGAAGACCTGGGTTAGAATTGGTCTTCAGTAACTCACGCTTGTTGTAAGATGACTAACGGGATCGAGTGGTCAGACTCGCTGACTTGGTTGACACATGTCATCGTATCCCAGTTGCAATGCTCATGATGTTGATCTTTTACAGACCGCTGTCATATAGCTGGAATATTGCTGAATGCGGCGTAAAACTAAACTCACTCACAGACACCAAACCGTCTGAACTGGGATAACCACTGTATATTACTCTAATAGATATGTATTTATGACACGTTTGTGATTATGATCAAAGCAAGGAATGCAGGCAATATGTGTTATATCGCAGAAACTTGCCAATAGAGCAAATTTGATATGCCTATCACCAAAAGAACACTTTCTATGTATGTATAATTCATCTTGGAAAGGAAGGGAATTTTTTTTGTGAAGTGGAAGGGGATCATGACAGTTATTTCCAAAAAGGGGTCATGTGGTTGTGTCTCAAAGAGAGTCAAGCAAGGTGTGTCTCAAAGAGAGTAATAATAGTTGTGTCTCAAAGAGAGTAATGATAGTTGTGTCTCAAAGAGAGTCAAGTGAAGTTGTGTTTCAGAGAGTGTAATAATAATTGTGTCTCAGAGAGAGTAATAATAGCTGTGTCTCAAAGAGAGTAATGATAGTTGTGTCTCAAAGAGAGTCGAGATAGGTGTGTCTCAAAGAGAGTCAAGATAGTTGTGTCTCAAAGAGAGTCAAGATAGGTGTGTCTCAAAGAGAGTCAAGATAGTTGTGTCTCAGAGAGAGTAATAATAGTTGTGTCTCAAAGAGAGTCAAGTGTAGTTGTGTCTCAGAGAGAGTAATGATAATTGTGTGTCAAAGAGAGTAATAATAATTGTGTCTCAGAGAGAGTAATGATAGTTGTGTCTCAAACAGAGTAATAATAATTGTGTCTCAAAGAGAGTAATGATAGTTGTGTCTCAAAGAGAGTCAAGATAGTTGTGTTTCAGAGAGTGTAATAATAATTGTGTTTCAGAGAGTGTAATAATAATTGTGTCTCAGAGAGAGTAATAATAGTTGTATCTCAAAGAGAGTAATGATAGTTGTATCTCAAAGAGAGTAATAATAATTGTGTCTCAAAGAGAGTAATAATAATTGTGTCTCAGAGAGTAAAAATAATTGTATCTCAAAGAGAGTAATAATAGTTGTGTTTCAAAGAGAGTCAAGTGAAGTTGTGTCTCAGAGAGAGTAATGATAATTGTGTCTCAAAGAGAGTAAGAATAGTTGTGTCTCAAAGAGAGTCAAGATAGTTGTGTTTCAGAGAGAGTAATAATAATTGTGTCTCAAAGAGAGTAATAATAGTTGTGTCTCAAAGAGAGTAATGATAGTTGTGTCTCAAAGAGAGTCAAGTGAAGTTGTGTTTCAGAGAGTGTAATAATAATTGTGTCTCACAGAGAGTAATAATAGCTGTGTCTCAAAGAGAGTAATGATAGTTGTGTCTCAAAGAGAGTCAAGCTATGTGTGTCTCAAAGAGAGTAATAATAGTTGTGTCTCAGAGAGAGTAATAATAGTTGTGTTTCAAAGAGAGTCAAATGAAGTTGTGTCTCAGAGAGAGTAATGATAATTGTGTCTCAGAGAGAGTAATAATAGTTTTGTCTCAAAGAGAGTCAAGATAGGTGTGTCTCAGAGTGTGCAATAATAATTGTGTCTCAGAGAGAGTAATGATAGCTGTGTCTCAAAGAGAGTCAAGATAGTTGTGTCTCAAAGAGAGTCAAGATAGGTGTGTCTCAAAGAGAGTCAAGATAGTTGTGTCTCAGAGAGAGTAATAATAGTTGTGTCTCAAAGAGAGTCAAGTGTAGTTGTGTCTCAGAGAGAGTAATGATAATTGTGTGTCAAAGAGAGTAATAATAATTGTGTCTCAGAGAGAGTAATGATAGGTGTGTCTCAAAGAGAGTCAAGATAGTTGTGTTTCAGGGAGTGTAATAATAATTGTGTCTCAAAGAGAGTAATAATAGTTGTGTCTCAAAGAGAGTAATGATAGTTGTATCTCAAAGAGAGTAATAATAATTGTGTCTCAAAGAGAGTAATAATAATTGTGTCTCAAAGAGAGTAATGATAGTTGTGTCTCAAAGAGAGTCAAAATAGTTGTGTTGCAGAGAGTGTAATAATAATTGTGTCTCAAAGAGAGTAATAATAGTTGTGTCTCAAAGAGAGTAATGATAGTTGTGTCTCAAAGAGAGTCAAGATAGTTTTGTTGCAGAGAGTGTAATAATAATTGTGTCTCAAAGAGAGTAATAATAGTTGTGTCTCAAAGAGAGTAATGATAGTTGTGTCTCAAAGAGAGTCAAGTGAAGTTGTGTTTCAGAGAGTGTAATAATAATTGTGTCTCACAGAGAGTAATAATAGCTGTGTCTCAAAGAGAGTAATGATAGTTGTGTCTCAAAGAGAGTCGAGATAGGTGTGTCTCAAAGAGAGTCAAGATAGTTGTGTCTCAGAGAGAGTAATAATAGTTGTGTCTCAAAGAGAGTCAAGTGTAGTTGTGTCTCAGAGAGAGTAATGATAATTGTGTGTCAAAGAGAATAATAATAATTGTGTCTCAGAGAGAGTAATGATAGGTGTGTCTCAAAGAGAGTCAAGATAGTTGTGTTTCAGAGAGTGTAATAATAATTGTGTCTCAAAGAGAGTAATAATAATTGTGTCTCAGAGAGAGTAATGATAGTTGTGTGTCTAAGAGAGTCAAGATAGTTGTGTTTCAGAGAGTGTAATAATAATTGTGTCTCAGAGAGAGTAATAATAGTTGTGTCTCAAAGAGAGTAATAATAGTTGTATCTCAAAGAGAGTCAAAATAGTTGTGTCTCAAAGAGAGTAATAATAGAGAGTCAGTGGCTATAATGATCATCTGTGACCTTTCACTTTCCATTTGATAATGATTTAGATAACATAGTGAGAGAGTGTCCATGTGAATATTTGTTTATATTCATAATTCAAATGATAAAAAAAGTTACAAACGCTGCAATGCAATTTAGAAATTATGTGAAAATAAGTGAAAATAGATACATTGACATATGGAGAACAGTAACTGAATCTTTAATTCCATACGCATGTCCACCATGTGAATAGCATTGATTCCTCCTCACCATGTCCTTATTAGTAGCCGAGGAGAAGCGCTAACTAGATATAGGTAGTGATCTTGTTAATCGAACTTTGTCAACACAACCTTGAGCCCAACACTGTTAATGCATATGGCACTAATCAGTCGAGAGTCGTGCCAAGGGGAAGTTGGAGGATTATACACTTTCCGGCAACCATCATGAAGTCCACAGTTGAGGACCTGACCGTTATGAATGACCAGGTAACGTGCCGATCTTGACTTTATGGCGTGCCTTGTTCTTGTCGTGACGAGCAGTGAACTGAATCTGTTTCCTTTGAACATGGCCTTTATGATGAAATCAGGTCTTTCCTTCATTCCAGTGTTAACGAGTTAGCAAGATCGATGTCAATATTTGTCTACTTTTACTTCCATACCAGATCTGGGTTCAGTTTTTTTAAAGCATTACTGTGGTCAAGTGTATTATATAGAAGAATTACTTAGGTTCCTAACAGACACGCACTTATCAAGGTACCTTTTGAATTAAAAACATCCCTCGCAGTTTTAAGAGTCATGGAGGTAAAGCAAATGGTATATGTTGTGTTGAGCACCTTATCAGTTCGGTGGCATCTAATATTGAAAACTCATTACACACTGAACCTCGTGCTTTCATTGTCGCTGTATCAGTCAGCCAACTGATGTTTATGTCACCGGGAGTCGCTATTGACCATCTCCCCAGGATATGATTAATGACCACGCTTTGCATTGTTGTCCATGCATGGGTAGCGACCATTAGGGCCACACATAGTGATGCCTCCTGTTTCAGTAGAGGAGCTTATTGCGACCGGGTTAAGCATCTGTGGACAGCTTAATGCAGAGGATGATATTAACGAATTGACACGTTCAACGAAATATTACGGAGCACGCCAGATCACAACGGACCATCCACTGAGCAATATAATGATGGACAATAGAACATAGATCATGTTCCGAGAATCATATCTGTTACTAGAGAATTAGGTTTCTTCGGCAGGCAATTGACTGGATATCTTTGTTGAACAGGTGTTTGAATATTGTGTTAGGTTCATTTTTTAAAAATGAATCGTAAAAAAAAGCCTGTAACAAACATGATAGGACTTCTTTCTCGTATAAAGGTGGACATGCCTTTGAGTGGCCGAGGGAAATGGCGGCGTCGAGGAGGTTCCTATCGTCACAGTTTCATCTCCAACGCCTCTCAGGAATCAGCAAAAACGGTGAGTACCATTTTATGTAAACGTTGTAAATGATCTTTTCTACAATATTCAAGGATTTTATTTTCAAGAAAACATAACAAACATTAGTGAAAGTATCCCTTATTTCAAGCATGGTATTGTTTATGATACCCGTTATTTTCACGGTTTATTGTTCAACTTGTTCATTATTGTATCTATGTATTCTGTTATCATATTTACTAATGCTATTGTCGCTTCACAGGCACTATTTTGTCCTACGTCATGTTAATAGTGTACTGTTATAAGAAACAACATTGGTTCTATTATTTCATGTTATCTAATAGCTCACTACCGTTATCATCACAGCTAGCTAAAAGATATATTATATACCAAATCCTCATCACGTTACTATACTAGTTATTGTTGTGTTTCTAATTGCAATCTCCCTTGTCTAGAGGAATGATCGTATTCGCGGAACGTTATTCGTCCGAATACCCTTGGCACGTGATATCAAACATCGTTAAAAGATGGAAGTTATTTTCACCCCGCCTTGGTCTCGGTTAAACTAGGACTCGTCAGTTGGGAGAGTACTGTGTGTTAGGGGGCAAGCACGATATGTCTGGCATATATCTGGACAAGTACAACCAGCCACACATATGCATGAATATACTCCACAAAGGCACACACATGATCTACACATGCACACACATGATCCACACATGCATACACACAATATAAACATACATACCCATAATCCACACATACATACACATAATCTACACATGCATGGACAAAACTAACCCATGAATACACATAATCTACACACGCATGGACAAAACTAACCCATGAATACACATAATCTACACATGCATGGACATAACTAACCCGTGAATACACATAATCTACATATGCATGGACATAACTAACCCATGAATACACATAATCTACACATGCATGGACATAACTAACCCATGAATACACATAATCTACATATCCATGGACATAACTAACCCGTGAATACACATAATCTACACATGCATGGACATAACTAACCCATGAATAAACATAATCTACACATGCATGGACATAACTAACCCATGAATACACATAATCTACACATGCATGGACATAACTAACCCATGAATACACATAATCCACACATGCATACACATTATTCACACATGAATACACATGAATCACAACATGAATACACATAATCTACACATTCATATACATAATCAACAGATACATACACATAATCTACACATGAATACACATAATTCACACATTTATAATTAAGCAATATACACTCACTTTCCTCTCACAAGACAATGCAAAACGCAGTTCATATCTATGTGCCTTGTTGACATTCCAATTAAGATTTTGTCCCTCGGTTCTCTTGCTAGTGATAAAAGGCTGCGGTGAGGTACACCTTGAAATAGTTAATGGGGGCGGTGGGGTAGCCTAGTGGTTAAAGCGTTGGCTCGTCACGTCGAAGTCCCGGATTCGAATCCCCACATGGGTACAATGTGTGAAGCCCATTTCTGGTGTCCCCCGCCGTGATGTTGCTGGAATATTGCTAAAAGCGGCGTAAAACCAAACTCAGTCAGTCAGTCAGTTAATGGATGGCCGGTCGTGTTTAACACGGCCACCGTGGATAGTGTCCATCGCAACGTGTTAAACAACGGCCTGAGTGTTGTACGAATAATCGATCTACAATGACATTGATAGATGTGTTACACATCACAAGCCTGTAAGAACTAATTATTGGTTGGCCATGCCTGTGACAGATTAAATAGGGCAGGTTACCGACAGGTGTTACGCCGTCTTTCCTGTACCGACGGATAACAGCCCGGGACTGCGTTATCACACTCTAACCCCGAATCAATATCACTTTCGTATTTAATGGAGGGGCATTAACACAGCGAACATGCACAACTACAATCACCCACAAACATTAAGTGAAGAAAGAGTTGTACTTACAGGGGCGATACCGTGATTTTAAAAATGGGTTAGCTTATTACACGTTCACATTATAATCTTCAGGTAGGACATGATACTAATCCGCTTTTCATATCCGGATACACGACACCTTGTTTATGGACGACAATTCCATATAGATGTCTCAAAGCTACTGACTGAGTTAGTATACGCCGAGGCAAAACAGAGATCTAGGCTTAAATCTTGCCAGTACTCCAATGTGATTTAATCACATCATCAAGCACATACGGGCAGTGTTACCATAGTCAGCTCCTCCACCCACCTTCATTATATTTAATGGACTTATTAATCTCATTGGCTTTGTCATTACATTATATGCTACCTTGTGTTAACATCGCGAATGACACACACACACACACACACACACACACACACACACACCTGTCCTATTCTACCTGTCACCTGTCCTATATATAGAAATGGCCACTATAGGAAAGGACTAAAGGTATATTTCGAACCTTTATTTTCGACTTAAACTCACTAAGCCTAAAAACACATGCAAGTGTGATATATTGCTGCATCGTTTTTTTTCTGCACAGATACCTGTAGGGGCGTTTGATTGTGAATTTTGATTAATCATGTGATACAATTAAAACACAATCCTGAACATGTGCCGATGCCTTCAATAAGGATAACGGTAACATTCTGTTAATGCAATGACAACGTACTGAGGCACCTCCCACGAGGAGTTGTTTAACATTTGTTTTACACCGTGAGCTCCGTTGTATGTCACTGTAACTCATTTGCAGTCAATAGAGCCTATTGATCACTCTACACAGTGCAAACTGGAGATTAACGTCAGCCCAAATGCAAGTTGTATATACAAATGATAGGGTGCACAGTGAGATAGCAATACCATTAGGAGAAAAAAGCGCGGAAGGTGTGTCAATAACTATGTGACAGGTTCCCAGTGGTCGAGTGGAATATTTAGCTTCCTCTAAGGAAATGTTTTCTACCGCGAACGTGTGAACATTCGGGTTAGAAATGGTCTTCAGAAATCCATGCTTGTCGACAGGCTGGGCAGCTCGCGATCGCTGACTTGGTTGACACATGTCATCGTTTCCCTATGGTGGAGGTCATTGCTCGTGGTAAAAAACACTGATTGTCTGACTTGATTATTTTCAGACTGCTGCCATATGTGAAGACGTATTGTTGACTAGACAAAGAACAAACAAACACACAAACAAACATGTTTTACGATGATGTTCCTCATTTGACAAAGTAATATAAAACGACATAAACATATTTCGCGTAGAAGTATTGATCATTTGCCGGTTAAATTGTCGGTTTGTCACTAAAATATCCATGCAATTATTAAATAAATATATATTCGCAATTTTGAATTCCAATTGTACCCATGAGTACTATGTCGTTTGTAGAAGTAATATTGATTCGGATTTCCCATTTCACATATACAGCAGATTGAAATCTAAAGATAACGGAATCACATCCCCAATCTGGTTGAATGTTGTGTACAGATAACAGTAACCTTGAGCCACAAATACAACATCATCATTATTGACTGCCGTAGTAATTAATGTGCTATGACGGTGAGCACGTACTCTTACCTTTGAGTACATATTGATAATATCAATATCTAGAAAATACATATTATGCACTACATGAGGCATTAATCTGGTGTTTGTACAGTTGTTTCTAACTAATACTGGTTCCATTTCCATGCACATGCTCATAAACCCAGAGCTGTAGATTAGTACACGTTTCATAAACAAGATTTAAGTTCCTGGTATTCAATCTTTCGACGAAATATCTGTCGCTAGTTATTTACAACAACTCATTAAATGATAGTTTTATTGAAACTATGTTATCACTGTAATTTCTCAATTAACACAAAAACATGGCTTAAAAGTTATTTTGAAATTCTATGATGATAACATTGTAGTATTGACAGAAGATGTAAGATCAGACCGTTGGCACAAGCGCTGTGATGCAGTGGCCCGGCGTTGGGGTAGATATATCAGTGATTCATATGAAACCTGTATGATCATATTGACTAGTGGTGTACGTTTATCTGATCCATTAGAAACTGAATACAAGGGCGTAGCCTGACTCCCATGGATAATCTCCCCACGTACAGGCTGGACACGTGACAAATCAGACCCTTAAATCAAACCGGGCGCATGATTCCTTACTCTATCGATCTAATAACTATGTGTTTTCATAATTACCAGTTCTACATATAACAGTACTACACTTGATACAGGTAGATCAGTTCGAAGTTCGTTAAAAGCTGCATCAAAACAACCTAAAGCTGCAAATATGGTTGTACCGTCCGTTGTGATGCTGTGTATCTAATCAATGGATCTTTGAAATCATATTTAATTAATATACTTAAACCTAATTATGGAATGTTTACAAACTTTTATGTTTTGGGACATGTTGAAGAAAACAAATTAATTTGAAACTCAGATGCCTTATCCCTAAATTGCCAGTGGTCCACAATTGAATGGTACTACTAAAGAATTATCAGAAAACCAGATGAGCTAATATTCTACCAACAATGTGTTCATTTTCACCTGGTTTAAACACACTACTAATATTAAGGGAGTGTAATATGATCGAACCCAAAATCTCGCGAGAGTAAAAGTTAATTGGGGGTCATTGTGACGAAGCCAAATGGATGTATGCTTTAGCAACAGGAAACATCATCTCAGCGCTCCGTGTCGAGTGTGGAACTTGCCAATTACTGACTCTCCTATTTCCAAAGCAGGATTGTCAGTTAGGAAATACGAGTTCGTATGACCAGTTTGCTCGAGTTACTCATGGCAATATTTCACATGGTTAGATATGAATCCGGGAATAACGGAAGGAACATCCCACAAAACAGCCAGGGGATGTTTTAATGGATCTCATCGGGTTCAGATAGAACTAGCACTATGGCAGTCATCGTTATTGATTAGTTTCTAGATATATTGCCCGGGTGATATTTCAGAGAAGGTAGAAAGTCGGTAAAACATATACTAATCATCCACTTGTAAGAGTGCTTTGATATTCATGTTGCAAATATATATCTACTTGCAGGATTAAGTATTCCAATACAGTACTAGACCCATTCCAATCATGTCCCCTTTATGTGGTGGTGTGTGGTCGTCATCAGCCCATGTCACAAGTCAGTAAAAGTTAAGCAACGTTGATTGCGGAGAGTCTTGGATGGGTGGCCGTGTTAGGCAGCTTGAATCCTGAGTGTTTTTTGACTTCAGTCCTCCCCCAACAAAGAAGCACACGCGACACTTGTGGTCTCACATGAGCCAAGTGAGTTAGTTCTCCCAGCAGTAACCGGAGTAACAATGTCTATTATGCAGTATGCCCCCTTCCATAGCCCTCTCCCATCCAATCACACTCTCTTCCTCGTTTCCATTCAATCCTCTGTGCTCCCTTTCTCTCTTCCACAACCGGTTTCCATCTCATTCCCTGTGCTCCCTTCTTCACTGAAGACTTAAACAACCCCCTTCTCATACAATCCCCTGTGCTCTCTTCTTCTCTTCCATACACCCCTGTCCTATCCATTTTCTTGCACCCCCTTCGTCTCTTTCATAACCCCTCCCGTCTCATCCCTTGCACTTTCTCCCATCAATCACCTGCACTCCCTTCTTCTCTTCCCAAACCGATCTCCCATTCAATCCCTTGCCCTCCCTTTATATCTTCCATAACCCTTCTCCTATCCAATCATCTGTGCTTATTTCTAACTTCATATCTCGATTCCCTTTCCTATCCAACTTTTTGTCTTCCCTTCCAATTTCATCCCTCATATCCCACCTGCTCTAGCAATGATTTGTCCTTCGATACCCTCTGTTCCAAATGAGTTGATAAATGGTGGATGAATAATATATATCCACTTATCTATTCACGTGATAATGTGCAATCAGCAGTAATATGCCTATATGCATAATTAACTCTCACAAATTACACCCCCTACCGCGACACACATAAACTTTTGAACTGGAACGTCCAAGGTACAAGGCACTTAGTCAATTTGCAGATGACCAGTTTAGAACTATGCAATGTTGGCAGAAGTCCTGCTCAGAACGGCCAGTACATGAAAAACCCGCTGATATATAACATATTTAACCGTTTTAATTCAAACTTAAAGTATTTTAAGTAAAAGATATCATGATTACTTACTTTGCAATGTGATATACCATCGCATATCTTTAGTAATAGAAATAATATATGAAAGAAACGAGCCCGATAACGACTTTGGACAGTTTCGTTCAGCCTGTTTCAGTGTCAGTTTGAGATCCAGTATGATTCCGTATTCTTCCTTTGTGTAACCATTGTTAAACTGGTATAGGTTCTACATAAACGCCTTTCAAGTATTGACTAAATATACTGAGTCAAAAAAGAAACTTCACAAAATGTAATTTGAAAAATAATGAATAATTTTTCTCTGATGATACATTTATGTATCCGAAATGGGATCCCTATCTTTCGACTCTAGAAAAACGTCAGCAAAACCCACTCAAACCCATCCATTCGTCGTGCAAATCACGTTAATGCCTAATCAGGTTTTGCACGTGCAGTCGATCACGTGATCTTCGCATTGAAGTTTTCTTCATATGCACGTGATTGCATTGGCCTCAAGAATTGAAAAAAACACTTTTAAACCACAGTTCTAACGTTACTTGAAATGCCACTACAACAAACTGGCACCACTTCTGATCGCCCATGGTCGGGTCGTCCACGTGTGACGTCACGAGCAGAAGACCGTCAAATCGTCCTACGTCACATACGTGACAGATTTCTGCCGGCTACACGAACCAGGGCTGAGATGTTTAGAGGTCGACTGTCCTCACAGACCATTCGAAATCGGTTGTGGGCTGCCAATCTCCATTCTCGACGTCCATATCGTGGGCCAATATTGACGCCGTTTCATCAACGTCAACGTCTGCTGTGGGCCCAACGTCACCTCCGATGGACCCAGAGAGACTGGAATCAAGTCGTCTTTAGCGATGAATCCAGGTTTACCCTCAGATTCGCGGACGGCAGGCATAGAGTCTGGAGACGAAGTCGTGAACAATGTTGTGTACAGGAAGTCGACAGATTCGGGGGCGGAAGTTGCATGGTGTGGGGTGCTTTCTGTGGGAACAACCGTTCCCGACTTTTGGTCATCCGTGGAAACCTCACAGCTGCTGCTTACCGCGACCAGGTGCTCACCCCTGAACTCGTTCCTTTCATGGCGGCTCATGGCCTAGGTCTACAGTTCCAGCATGATAATGCTCGTCCGCATACCGCGATGTTGACACGAAATTTCCTTCAAAACGCTGGAATCAACGTCATGGACTGGCCATCGAGGTCCCCTGACCTTAATCCAATAGAGCACGTTTGGGATGCACTTGGGAGAAGGCTTCGTGGTCTTAGGAACCAACCTCAGAATTTGCAGGAACTTGGCGCTGCCTTGCACGAGCAATGGCGCAGAATCCCCAACCACGTGTTCACAAGCATCAGGCAGTCGATGAGGAGACGGTGTTTGGCAGTGGTGAATGCGCGGGGCGGCCATACACGATATTGAACTGAGAAATTTCTCATTTTTATTCTTGTGACTTGACATTCTGTATACCCATGTTTTGGAACGGCGGTGTAGCCTAATGGAACTGATTATGACACTGTCAGTGTATCGAGTACATCATACAGATCTCAGCAATGAAATAATAACAATTTAACCATCTTACCATCTCTTGTTCTTTTATAGTGCCCTGAAGAAAGAATGTGAAGTTTCTTTTTTTGACTCAGTATATATCATTTAGAGGATTCTGCTACTGACTGTAATTTCCAACTTTGACTCAAGACCATGTTGATGCATGGTTTGGACTGCCTGATCACATATATAAACATAAAGGCTTGAGGTGATCATCAAGAGTCTGTGGTCCACCCTAATTTAACAGTCCTCTGTGTGAAGTAGCCTATGTTATGTCTCATTAATTCCCGATATTGTCTGTATGGAACATGATGATGTTCACAAAGTATTGATGAAGTAATGGTTAGTCTGTTAAAACTATACAGTATATGTGGAGGGATGTACATTGTTTGTTGTTTGCTGCCTCACACCACACGTAACAAGTGCGGGTGTTTAACTGATAGCGTCAGAACCAGGACACCACTCACTGATATCATGAACAATGATGCATTCCGTCGGGATGAAGTAGATCCGGTCACTGGGCCTGACCACCCGAACCAGTAATCGCCCCGTCGGGATCAAGTAGATCCGGTCACTGGGCCTGACCACCCGAACCAGTAATCGCCCCGCCGGGATCAAGTAGATCCGGTCACTGGGCCTGACCACCCGAACCAGTAATCGCCCCGTCGGGATCAAGTAGATCCGGTCACTGGGCCTGACCACCCGAACCAGTAATCGCCCCGCCGGGATCAAGTAGATCCGGTCACTGGGCCTGACCACCCGAACCAGTAATCGCCCCGTCGGGATCAAGTAGATCCGGTCACTGGGCCTGACCACCCGAATCAGTAATCGCCCCGTCGGGATCAAGTAGATCCGGTCACTGGGCCTGACCACCCGAATCAGTAATCGCCCCGTCGGGATCAAGTAGATCCGGTCACTGGGCCTGACCACCCGAACCAGTAATCGCCCCGTCGACAAGAATAGATAGTTGTTCTTACTCGCAAACCACACTATGGCAGAATAAAATGAAAGTGAATATGGTTTCAGGCCGCTTTTAGCATTATTCCAGCAACACCAAGGCGTCGGACACCAAAATGAAGTAAGACAGCAAGGGAGAACAGTCTTACGCGACCTTCCAGCTGATTGACGTCACGGTGAGAAATATAATGAACTTGCAAAGAAGTTTTCTTTTGCCTCAGGTCTTCTGAGTGACCACCCGATCAACGTTCCTATCACACAGCATATTCACTGCACATGGGGTGTATATGGGGTTCCTGATCCAGTTCTTTGTGATTTTGTTTCAGTTTGCGGACGCGGAGGAGGAGTTTATACACGCCGCAGAGTTTGGCGACATTCCCAATGTGAAGAAGTTGCTGGCCGAGTACCCGGAACTCAACCCTGACTGCATTGATGCCTTGGGCAGGACGGCCTTACGTCTCGCCGTCAAGAACGAGCATTTGGAGGTATGGTAACGTTGTCACAGTCGACACAACTCGGATAAATTAGAGTTAGACTAGGAGATTAAGCGATAGACCTAGAATCTTACTTTATCCCCTCTGGCAGCACATGTAAAAATGCAGCTGAAAATCAGACCCAGTGGATACTATAATAGAAGCTACAAAACACATCATTGTTAACGAGCAGAACGCAAAGTAGTTAATTCCTGACATTAATCAGTTGTTGCTGTTACTTGGTTGGCTTCAGGTGTCTTGCTGTTAATCGGTGCCAGGCCGTGGACTAGTAGCTAGTGTTATTAGTAATAGGAGAATACTTGCATTCCTACCTGCTTCACCCCGAGGGGCTTATGCAATTATGTCTTATGGCTTATGGCTCTGTTTTCACTACTCAAACAATACTTAGTTTGTTAAGTTGTGGCCAGAGTATGTTTTTTTAACAAAATACCAAAGACAGGTTCAACAGGTTTAGTTTGCATGTTGATCTACGGAACTGAAACCATTGTTTATATGCACGTGTACATAGTATCAGTAGAGTTTAGGTAACAGATTCATTAACGAGACTATTAATTAATGGAATCTGATGATGGAACCTGTGTATACTCAACAATATAACATCTTCAATATATGGGCATATCAGCAATATATTGAAATCATTACGTTTAGGCCTTGCTAATTCAACACAACATATGGAAACGAAAACTAGGGAATCTAATTGTCCACATACTGTAATGTTTTACTGAGAACCTAATTTCCCCGTGTTAGTTTAACATGGCAGAAAATGTACTTTGAATTATTGGTATATTATTATACAGAAGCAATAATGTTATAACAATGAGTTGTGATAACTGCACCTCAAGATGTTATATTGCTTTCGTTTTCTGAAATATTTGGTTTGCCAGCCTTGCTTGTACACCTCGAGGGGGCTGAGAATGAAATATGAAGGTACACTGATCCACTAACAGGGGTAATAATGCCTTTATTATATTCAGCATAGATAAAGATTCATACAAATGGACTATTATTATCATTAGTTATTAATAATAAGCAGCGATACTCATGTATTGTGTATGTGTATGTGTTGGGGAGGGGTGGGGAGTGGGTGTGGGGTGTGTGGGGGAAGTTACATCCATTATCAGTTCCATACTTGCAGCTTGTATATTTGTGATGCCGCCCATAAGACTGGTCATTCGAAAGTGTTTTGGGATAGCCAGTTTTCGTTACAATCGATCTTGATCGTTGGCCCTAACAAAATAAATATAGGTAAACTCGAACTTCATTATGGTTTGAAACAGACTTCGTTATAGTGTATACATATTTAATACATACAATAGTATACTATGATAATTTTAGCTCTTCATGTTATTAAGTGCGAAAATATGCCTAAAATAAATGTTTACACGGACGAACGTTGCCGTCATTATTGTAACATTCCAACAATTAGATGTCGTTATAACGCTGATTAATACTAGATGATATCGGCCATGAGACCAGTGCCTTCTGAACAACTATAAATATCTAAAGCCTGCAAATAACTGTAAATATCAGTCGGCGTAACCAAGCTCTGTTGCAGCGTGTGTCGTGCTTGATGACAGCCATGTGGCATGTTTTATGATACATCATTTTGCTACGAGTGAAACGCAACCATAGAACTGTCGGTTATGACAACACAGCAAAGGCATGGATGACAAATGATCTTGGATAGTGGCATATTTTGCTAGTTATTGCAACAAGAATGTTTGTTCAACTGAAATATGAATTTATAATTTCTATAACTCCAATCGATGGATTCCTGTCCAAGTAGTGGGTGTATGGAGATTAAGGGTGCAAGAGTAATGCAATAAAGATATTAAAACAATTTGAAAATATTGACACGTCAAGATGAAGATTCAGGTTTGTGTATTAACGTGTTCCATATTTACACCGACGGTGTCTTAGCTGAAAGGAGGACAGAACATTCCACCTACGTAAATATGCTTGTATGATTAATCCCACAAGTATCTGCCGAGAGAAAGAAAACAAGCTCTATCGATTTGGTCTGTCCAATGACAAGGTTTACACTTTAATGAATATGGTATTGATAATAGAGTTTATCGACGTGTGATTATAAATGGCATTCCATGATGAGTGATCCTATCAATGTCTAATAGATATAAATATATAATTAGGTTGAGTAATTGCCACCTGTAACGTAATCATTCTTAAGATAACGAACACCTCGGTATCAATAAGCTTTTTTGTATCAGGACTTCTCGGTATTGTGGTGGTGCACGTGTGGTCATAGAGCTTAGGTAATAAAGAAGTTGAAGTTAAGCAACGCTGGTCACTGATATTCCTTGGATGTGTGACCGTGTTTGGCAGCTTGATTCCTGGGATATTCTGGGACTTCGACAGTCCTGCCCCACAAGGAAGCAAACGTAACATATGTGGTCTCACCAATTGATTGTGTTCAAAGTTGCCTCTGTTCATCAAGCAGAAAATTGGTATTCGGGTGGATAAGACATAATAATGACTATGAACCAGCTTCCACAAGCAACTTGGGTCATCCGGGATAATAATGGCCACTATGTTATATGCGCTTCTCGGCATAAGGAGGTTGTGTGTAGCTTCTCAGAAGCTTCTCGGTTTCAGGAGGTTGTGTGTAGCTTATTTGTATCTAGGGGATGTGTGTACCTTCTCAGCATTAAGTCGTAGCGGATAGCTTCTTGTTATCAGGAACCAGTGTGCAATTTCTCGGTATCAGGCGTTTGTGGGTAGCCTCTTGGAATTAAAAGGTTGTGTGTAGCTTCTCGGCATCAGGAGGTTGTAGTTAGCTTCTCGGTATTAATTAAGCCGTACCGTAGCTTTATCGGTATCGTGACGTTGCTAGTAGCTTCTCGATATCAAGAAGTTGCGGATAGCGTCTCGGTATCAGGAAGTTCCAAAGAGTTTTTTTATATCAAGACGGATACGGAACCAGAATGATCAGGGTACATTCTCGTTGTCAAGACCATCAAACGAGATTCTCGGTAAGGAAACATTCAGGAGGCTTCTTGAAGACGTAGCCTCAATGTGTTTGAAACCAAGACTGTTACTGAATGATAGTAAGCAGCGATGACTGCTCTTCAGTCCTGTGCTCTTTCCGCTCACTTTTAGCAGGCACGCTGTGACGTAATTGACATTTTGAAATCCCAGCTCACTCTTTCATTTCCAGGTGGTAGAGGTTCTTCTGGACCGGTCAAACCAACAGCACATCTACGAGGCGGTTCTCCAGGCCATCAGCGCCGGCCATGTCCAGATAGCCGAGACTATCCTGAAGCACAAGCGCTATGTAGACATGTGGCGGGAGAGAAGGAAACTCGGAGACCAGGATGGTTTCTACAAAACAGCTAACGCCGAGTCCCAGTTCTCCCCAGACATCACACCCTTGATGCTGGCCTCGCAGAAGAACCAATACGAGATAGTTCAGCTGCTTCTCCTGAGAGACGAGAGGATCCAGAAACCTCACAAGTACAGCTGCGGGTGCAACGAATGTGATAACAAGATTAGGTTCGATCAGCTCCGACTGGCTAAGTACAGGTTAAACGCCTACAGAGGCCTGTCCAGTGAGGCGTATATCTCCCTTTCAAGTAAAGATCCCATTCTCACTGCGTTTGAGCTGGCAGCCGAGCTCAGAAAGTTATCTAAAATAGAAAAGCATTTTAAGGTAATAACTCCTACTAAAGTATGTTTTATGAAATATTTTAGACATTTTACCTTGGTCGTTTTAGCTGTGGAAGTATTGATATGAATGTGTATTTGTTGATGATTATCCATTGAACTAATAAATCAGCTGACAGTTCTTACATTTCATTTTCCACAATTCCTAAGTGATGATAGGAAGATACATCTCTAACGAGTGAGTGAGTGAATTTAGCAATTTAGCAGCTTTTAGCAATATTCCAGCAATATCACGGAAGGGGACACCAGAAATGGGCTTCACACATTGTACCCATGTGGGAAATCGAACCCGGGTCTTCGGCTTGACGCTTTAATCACCAGGCTACCCCGCCGCCCCGACATGCACATGATGATCTGTAGTATCCACGACTGCTGAAACAGGAAGAAACTGGATTCCTGACAGTAATGGATCCAGAACATATGAAACTTAGATTTACATGTCACGTATGAAATTCAAATGATATGCTTTCCCTGTATGACTTGATCTTTCCATGCCAGCATGCAATTTCTAATGAATACCGGATAATCTATGGAAAACCAAGTTCTATGTATAGTCAACTTCTTTATTGCAATGAATGCGACGTTTCGGTGTAGATACTAACACCGTTATCATGCAAGTGAAACGTCGCAATTCATTGCAATAAAGAATTTGACTATCTATAGAACTTGGTTTTCCTTCATCTTTACAACTTTTATAATGCGTCTCAAAGAACCGGGTGATCTAGTTTTAAAAACACAACAATGCCAAACTAGCCATTTACATCCTCTCGTGTGAATATATTACTTATCCTGTTGTACTATATAGTCATACATATCTTGTTCCACCACTCCTCCATTCATGCCAATCGAACTATTTGTCTTAATGACCATTAGTACTTGTTTCGTTCTAGTTGGAGTACCGGCAATTGGCCGACCAACTCAGTGAATATGTTGTCAAACTTCTCGACCGGATTCGAACCCAGGAAGAGCTGGATCTCATCCTGAACAAAACCGGGGACCACACTACAGAGGCGTACGAGAACATGGCAAGATTTCAGTTAGCTCTTGATTACAAGGAGAAGAGGGTAAGTTATGCACGATGAAATTGGAATAAACTCCTAATACAAGGCGGGGAAGCTTACTGTTGCTATTGCAAGTTATTCAGCTGGAGAAAACACCGGATTCTGTATAGTTCAGTGATACAGGGAATATTTTGAAACTATTGTTGTATAACCCTGTTGATATTGTCATCAAATTTCACGCATTTCTCAAAATATAACAGAAGTCATGACAAATGACTAATTCACTTACATGGGTGTTAACATATGACATTAATAAAATCCACAGACTGCTCGTCTCCGGACATGACATTGGTGACATTTGCATCGTTCTGACAATAATACATAAACAATAATATATAAACAATGTACCTGGTAGAAACATACGTTTTCTTTCCTCCCACTAAGATCGCAATGATAGAGCCGTACAAACATCTTTGTGATACTCTTTTACAAAAATCTCTGTGATAGAGCCTTACAAACATCTTTGTGATAATCTTTTAAAAAAACCTCTATGATAGAGCCTTACAAACATCTTTGTGATAATCTTTTACAAAAACCTTTATGATAGAGCCTTACAAACATCTTTGTGATAATCTTTTACAAAAATCTCTATGATAGAGCCGTACAAACATCTTTGTGATAATCTTTTACAAAAAACCTTTATGATAGAGCCTTACAAACGACATTACAAAACTCACAAAGATAAGTCTTAACTTGCATCTTTGTTTTTACACACAAAAAATGCTTTTAAAAACATCGCTACATTTGTACAAATATCACTTTGGAGAAACTGTACATAAGAAGGGGCGTAACTCGTGTTGGTATATTATCATCTGTAGGCCTGTCACATGGCTTTACACGGTGGTATCTGAAACCAGTTTGTGATACGTATGTGATGAAGTGACTATAATACTTAGTTACTTAAGACATCATTACATTCAGTTACATCCAGTGGAAAGTACATATAACAGCGTAAAAAAACATTTGAAGCGTTAGTAAAATGTTGTAACGTGGAGTCCTTCTCGGTTTGAATAATTGCAAGTTTTTGGTCTATTTGTTATCCGCGAGGAACTGTCGAGACAAATACTAACCCGGTACTTGGTGCCAAAGTGATAACCAGGAATATACCTTGAAAGAATAACGCCACCTCAACAATGTGTAATAACCAATACTGGCCTACTAACGTGTGTAGTTTGGAGTATCGTATCGGTAACTGTAGTAACATCAACACTGATCTGAATGAAACGTTGAGTCGCACTCAGTATTTTTAAGGAAGGAATATCTCATGATGGAAGCGTTATATTTTATTTTTGGGTACGTTTCACTGATATATCGTTACCCGTGAAGATCCGGGATAGAATTGGTCTTCAACAACCCGTGCTTATCGTAAGAGGCGTCTAACGTAATAGGGTGGTCAGGTTTGCTGACTTGGTTGTCACATGTCATCGTATCCCAATTCCAATTTTCCCCAGGCTGGATGATTGTCCTGTCCAGATTCGATAATTTACAGATCCCCGTCATATAGCTGGGAAATTGCTGAGTTTGGCGTTAAACAACAAACAGACAAAACTGATATATCGTTAACTTGCAGGCATCATGTACTGTTTTCCGAATGACGTATTAAACAGTTTCTTCAGCGCTGGGTTTGGGAAATGAAAGTCAACCTTTGTCCTGTGCTTATCGAATGATGCAAAACTGGTGCGATGGAAACACATACTCATCAGCCCATGGCTTTAAAGGAAATGAGACAGTGAATTTTAAATTCACGTTCTCGGGTTCAATTTAATAGACCATAATCGGAACATCCATGATACGATGTCCAAAGCAAACTCACGTCAAAATTCATTCAACAAGCCTTATGCTGAAAACAACTTCCAAAGTACACGGAAGGCTTGGACATTGGTAAATATACAGGAATTGTCGTTGGCATCACTCTTTTTGATCGGTTTTGGGTGACATAACAGACTGATGATTATTAGCAGAATAATTCCTGAACCATTCTGCTTGATGAAGGAGATGAATGTTTAACTCTGTGATAGTATGATGCTATTACCTCCACTCAAAGAAGTGGTCTAACTGTTTGAAGTATGAGGTTTCATTTCGTTTCAGTTCGTCGCTCATCCCAACTGTCAACAGAGACTTGTACATATGTGGTACCGTGGCATGAGATCGTGGGACTGTAGCAGCTCTGTCCGGCGTCTGGCCATTGTCTGCATGTTCATCCTCGCATACCCATTCCTGGTCCTTATGTCCTTAGTGCACCCCACAGCAAAGGTAAGCACTGTCCGATCAACTCATCATGTTAGGCAGGCTTAATGTTCCCCGCAGGAAACTAGTTCCAAAATGACTATAACAGTTTCATGGACTATTGTTGCTAGCAATCAATATTGTTGGCAAGGAAATGTTTCTTGAATTCCTGACGAACTTTGAATTTCTGAAACTAGACTTGACGTTTGTATTTTACAATGTCGATAAAGGTATGGGTTTTTTTTAGATTTGGGGGATTTAATGAGTATTTAATACACGAAAATCTCATTTGAAGCCAAGGCTATTCATGTAAAAGAATATGGTTCATAATCAACTGGATGGCGTGATATGTTTCTATGACATCCGAACCCGTTTGGTCACCGAGATGTGAAAACAATGTATAGAAGACTGCTTTCATTGACATTGTTCAAAATTTATCCTTTTGTTAGTGTGGATAACCTTACGATGATATGACATGTGTCTCAAATTTGAAATTGAAAAAAAGAATTATCGAAAAATTCATATTTCAATAATATTAAACTATTGTCTTGTTTGACACCCATCAGACCTGAAAGCACACTCACATTCATGTTCCAAATGTTTCATGCAAGCAAGTTAATATTAACTGTGTTGTCATTATTTTAGGAACATGCTATTTTCTGCTACATATTCTTATTGGTCATTATATGAAAATGGCCACTCACAGTCAAGCATTGATAAATGAGAGTGAAGATACGTTCTGCCATGATCGATCGGCGAGATATTCCTAAATCACGACGAATCAGCTATGTTCGGACCAATAAAGTCAGGCGTACTCCCTATAGTGGCGTCGTTTCCAGCTGTTTATGTCGATGGAATTGCCCTGTTGACATAAGTCGGTCGAGTACGCCAATCCAAGGACAAAGTCGAATACATACAAAAACAAAATGTCAATAAGTGTGCACTTCGCATGGTTCTTGTATTCTTGAAATCTAAAAGGGTATGGCATGAGATTAACTGCGACACGATGTGACGATAAATGCAAAGGTGACATGGAGGTTTGCTATTTTTACAGAGATATACTTTTTGTCTTATGACAGGTGAAAAAACATGTGTATCGTATTGTGGTCTATATAAGGCAGATCTGTTAACACCGCTAAAATAACAAAAAGGATGTCAAAGATGAGAGATCTACTTTTGTGACGCTTTTTAGGAAATGTGTTCGTTATGTGTGCCACTTCACTCATTTGTAGCTTAATGCTCTTGTCACCGCTTTCCTGTCCAAGACTCTATCTATGTCAAACATGCATTATGCATTTTCAGCCCAAACCTGGTAAATATTCACAATTTAAAATTCTTTCAGAATCTTATTTTTAAAAAAACAAGCAACGAAAATGAAACGAAAAAATATGTTCCTCAGATTATGCATTTTCAGCCCAAACCTGGTAAATATTCACAATTTAAAATTCTTTCAGAATCTTATTTAAAAACACAAACAACAAGCAACGGTCATGTTGATGACATTGAAATTGAATTCAAGAGCCGAGGGAGTTGATATTTTTATAGGAGTGAGTGAGTGAGTTTAGTTTTACGCCGCACCCAGCAATATTCCAGCTATATGGCGGCGGTCTGTAAATAATCGAGTCTGGACCAGACAATCCAGTGATCAACAGCATGAGCATCGATCTGCACAATTGGGAACCGATGACATGTGTCAACCAAGTCAGCGAAACTGACCACCCGATCCCGTTAGTCGCCTCTTACGACAAGATAGTCGCCTTTTTATGGCAAGCACATGGGTTGCTGAAGACCTATTCTACCCCGGATCTTCACGGGTCATTTTTATAGGAATTTGAAGCATAACATTCTGGTTTAAATTTAAATAAAACGATTGTAACCGAGAAAACCCAGATATTAGGTTACTGGCCAAACTGAACCATCCTGAAGATGATAAAAAAATGTATAAAGTGTAAACATCAACTGCATTCGGCGGCAGGGTAGCCTAGTGGTTTAAATGTTGTGTTGTCACGCCAAAGCCCCGGGTTCGATTAACCACATTGGTATTTGTGTGTCCATTCCTGGTGTCTCCTGCCGTGATAGTGATTGAATGTTGCTAAAAGCGGCGTAAAACCATGATAATAACTCTCACATATTCTCAAATTGGCATTGGTATGTATGCGTGCGTGCACACATGTATGTATATATGTATGTTTGCATGTATTTTTTCGAATATGATTTGATGATGGTCTTGTTTCAGTTTTCCAAGATCCTTCTGTATCCGTTTGTGAAGTTTCTCACTCACTCGTTCTCCCACCTCGTGTTCCTGGTGATTATCATCGTGTCCACAGCCGAGTCGTCCTACACCATATCCAACGAGAAGACGCTCAAGTCGTTGTATCCAGGCGACTTTGTTCGGTATCACGAGTTCCGGAATTTGACGAAGAATGAACTGTTTGATGTCGACTTTCCCCTGAGGTCGTATGCGCCCACGGTGACGCAAGTGTTATTGACGCTGTGGATTCTAGGTAATCAGAAACAATGAAGTCGACCAGAGTAACCCCCCCGTTGTTGGTTGATTGTACAACTATTTCGATTGTGAAACGGGCGTCAGCATTTAAATGCACGTGTAACGGACGGCCTTGGGATGGGGACATTAATGATTATGTTATTATCAAATAAGCATTATGATTACGACATTGTAATCCTGGATCGCCAAAGTTATTTAAAATCGTTGGGGGCCAAGGGCAGAGCTGAAGGGGGTTATCCAGCATACGCTTGCCGGTGGTGAAGAACAGATGACGTTATTTGGGCGTGTGGTCCGGTCCTGTGGCGGGGTGTGTGGAATCTTACCATGATGGCGGAAGCCGTTGTTCGTGCTTTTAGACATTCATTTTCCTTGTCTAAACTGGATAATGTGCTTAACTGAAATATTACTGTGACGTTTAACAACTACTCACATAGTGGTCGACGGAGATATTTTATTTACGCTTCTTTGAACAGAAACAAGAGTTATGTCCCATGGATTATGTGAATCAGCACCAGCACCCCATCACTGACAAATCCGAAGCATATACTTACTTAGTCCGTACCACCATAAGGATTTGAAATGTTCCTTTGCATTTTGAAATATTACCACTTATTAATATATTAGTTGAGTCAAAATAATATTGATAAGTTATTTCTTAAACATAAAGCTATTTGATACACATTTATTTCACTTTGCATATAGACGATACTTGTTTGGAACGTTATATAATACTTACAAGGTGCATACTTCGCACCCACGATTGGTTTGGTAGGCAAATCGAACGCTTTACCTGGTAAAAGTAATGTCTAAGCAAAAGAACTCATTGTGGATTTTAGAAGCAAAAAAGTGACACGATGCCTGTTGAAATCAAGAGTGAAACTGTAACGTATGTTATCTTAGACCACTTTCTAAAATGGCATTGTGTATTTCACAAGAGTGAAACTGTAGAAATTGTAACACAGTACAAATATCTTGGCACTATTATCGACAACTTACTACAGTGGGGTCCAAACACTGATTATATTTGTAAGAAATGCCGGCAAAGACTGCATTTTATGCGCAAAATGACATCTTTTAACATAAGCAAAAAGCTGATGCTGTTGTTTTATCGTTGTTTTGTTGAAAGTATTTGAACCTTTTCAATTCAATGCTGGCATGGCTCTCTTAATATCAAAAGCAAATCTTATCTTAACAAAATCATTTTAATTGCAAGTAAACTCTGGGGTGTCGGTTTCGGATTTACTTTCTCTTTTTAATTCCCGCGTTCTTAACCTCGCTGAGAGAAATTTATCTGATTCCAGCCACGTTTTATTTTCTGAATAGAATCTTTAACCTTTAGGCCGATGATACCACATGCCCCGTTTTAAAACAAAAAGTGTTCAAAATTCTTTTATTCCAGCAAGTATTGGCCTTCTAAATGACTGTTAACTTCGTGTGTCTATTGTGTTGTTTTTTCTTTACCTTTATGTCATTTATAATTTTTAATTATGTGATCACTTTCAAATGTAAAAAGAATTCCCCTAGGGGTAATAAAGTATTGCCGCTGTCATTTTCATAATGTCCAGATTGAAAGGTATTTGTTGTACATTTAACGTCACTAATGAATGGCATTACAGGATGAATGTCCTCACACAGTAAGATCTTCTTGCAGGTTTTACATGCGCCGAATGCAGTCAAATATACGTCACGGGCCTCATCGGACATGTGAAGAATTTGTTCAACTTGTTAGATTTCATGGTTCTGTCAACCTACTCTGGTGCCTTTACTCTTACCTACTTTACAATGATCAAGGTTTGTAATGAACGTTGCCTTCCATGTTGATCTTGACCAATAGTTTTCATATTCAAATGCCAGTTCTCCATCGATTCCACACAACTCTAAATATATGGCAAATCATGTGCTATCTATGTTGGGAAGACATAAGATTGTCTAGACTACATTTGATTTCCAATTTTGGAAACAAAAACATTTGTATATCAATACAATATATATCTGATGTCGCAAGTGTATTACAAGAAATCGGTTTCTGGCAGGCCATTGCGTCATTGCTCAGTGCCAATCAAGGATGTAAAAATCAAAGTGATATAAAGTTAGATGGAGCAACAATATCCGTGAGAGAGAGAGTGTTAATTTGAGCAGGTAGGAATGGAATTACCTTGAACCAAGGAGGTTTAAGTACCTCCCATAGAAGTCTTCCGTGTACCTTTCTCCAAGGCCACGTTGAACAAGCTTAGCGGACCGTATGGCGTGTGTTTTGAAGGGATGATATGACAGTTAACGCTAGTTAAAATGGTTCTATAGGTGTACCGGTTATGCCATCTTTGTCAGGAAGCTTTTACGTTGTGTAATACGTTATAATTTGATTGTGACAATAAGGACAAATCGGGGTGGACATTTGAGGGACGTAGCAAGATAATTTGCTTAAGGGTCGTGAATCGGTAGTTTCTACCTGTTCAACCGATCAGTGCTTTAACTGTGTTTGATAATCAGTTACGTTGTTTCCCCAATCTCATCAATGTCACATCCCTACAAAGCGGGACATAGTGTGTGTGAGTGTGTGAGTGTGAGTGTGTGAACCTATGTGTGAGCCTCCTCTCTCCCCCGCGTGCGTGCGTGCGTGCGTGCGTGCGTGTCCCCTGTCCCGTGCCGTACTGGATCTTGAATTGCTGTGTCATTTTACGATTTGGACGGCACTACATTGATTTATCATTTTATCCCTTTCTTTTTGGGCGTTTAGTGTTTTGATCGATGTTACTCTGAATCCTCTACCGGCATTCCGTGTGATTGCATGTTTGTCATGTGTTAACTTTGTGATTATACCGACAGTTATATAGTACCTAATTCATAACGAGCTATGTTCACGCCCACAGTGATAACGAGATAGGACAGCTGTCCCTTTTCCCTCCATTCACTTGCCATTTTGTGTCATGTCATCTGGGACAGTTTTACATTGACATTAAATTTTAAACGTCAAAGGCCGATTTTAACCAGTCTCAATAAGACGTGGGTTGTACTGACTGAGTTTAGTTTTACGTCGCTTTCAGCACTATTGCAGCAATATCACGGCTTCACACGTTGTAGATATGTGGGGAATCTAACCCGGGCCTTCGGTGTGATGAGCAAACGCTTTAACCACTAGGCAACCCCACCACCCTCGTTGGGTGTAATAACGATGAAAATGTTATGAATGGAGCACTGAGAATGATTCTGACACCTAGTTCGCCGAGAGGCTGAACATGTAGGATAGTTTGATTGTTTTCTTTACATGGTGAAATACCAGCCTTGAAGGGCTGATTAATGGTAAATGTTTTTTTTCAAATGGTTCTGGATTAATCAAGTAAATTCTCATCCTAATTAAAATGTGTACATTATTTTCGTTTCAGTTCCACTTAGCCGTGGACTTCATTGCCACCGCCAACCTGACCGTCGATATCGAGAAGACCCACAGCAGCCTGTACTGGCTGAATGCAGGTAGGAGCACATCGTTCCGCCTCGATCACGTGTGTGTGTGCGTGCGTGCGTGCGTGCGTGCGTGCGTGCGTGCGTGCGTGTGTGTGTGTGGCCACAGGCCCCCCTGGGACGCGCGCCGGTCCTCATGCATGCCTGTTTTAATTTCATATGAAGCGCATCATACTGTGCTTTAAATTAATATTTTGCATCCATTTCAACTTATTTATTTTCAGCTAGTAATATCAGCTGGTATTACACGTGATTGTTCGCCAGTTCACTACCACCTGGAGACATGTATCTTATACATGGTGCCAAAGCTAGCAAGTACACCAGTCCGGCTAAGAATAGATCAAGATATCGATTATTCTTTTAGAGGTTTCTATAATGAGTTATTTTCTGTATACAATATCACACCGCAGTCTGTATTCCAGTATATATATATGTAACTGTGATGATGGTTCCTCTAAGATTACTTTTAAATCTGTTTTAAATACAGAGCAATGCCTCCAAGATATTATTCTCAGAAAATTCTTCGTTTCATTATCCAGATTTAGATGTTCGTTACGTGATCTTATGATCGAGAAAGACAGTTATTATAATATTCCAAGAGAAAACAGATTGTGTACATTTTGTACTTTAAATCTATTTGAAGATGAGTTCCACTTTTGCTGCTTTGTCCTTAATTATTTTAAGGACAAAATACCGACCGCAATATCACCTTGCATATCCTACTACGTGTAAATTAATTATTTTAGTGAACTCGAATAATAGAACTTACATTCGCATATCCACCATGCTTTTGTACATAGAAAACAATGCCTGCAAACATTGAGATTGTATGCCATTATTGCTAGCTGACATTGTACTATAGGCCTCTTCAGTACTGGGATAAAAGAGATGATGTGATCTTTATCATACTGTGATCTGCGCGCAGATTCCATCATCATAATTATTCAATTTCAGATTGTCAGTTAAGTATATATTAATATGATATAAAGTTAGATATATTTTAATACAGGTTAAAATACATAAATGCTGTAACATGCTTCTTGTGATCCTGGCACAATCAGGCTGGTTATGCTAGATCATTAGATCCGGGCCCTTGGTCCCTCTATACGCAGCCCAGACAGCAAATGGGAGTTCATCAAGGAAACCCTGCCCAGTCGAGCTAACAAAGGGATTACCGTTGAATATGAACACTCACCAACACTTCACCTGTCACCATTACTCAAAGTATCAGGAGGAATTGTGTATTCCAACAAACTCGGGTACTCTCCTTATGTCAGTCAACAGATTGGGAGGAAGCACTCCTAAGGCATCGAGAACAATGTCTGGCAATGGGTACTTGGGATGCATTAGCAGTGTGTCGTAAGCGAGGTCCGCATACGTGATTTGTTCTTCTCTGTATCCTATCCATTACGTTAGTGTGAAAAAGGACAGACATAAATGATTTTTACTGGATTTGTCAGAACGTCAAAGTTTGATGGCCTGGATACTGGTCTGGAGGCTGTATAAGGGTCTATTCCATATCAAACGTGCAAGGAAGGCTTGTGGGATGTCACGTCAGATTCTCTCAAGTTCTGTTGCGGGACGTCGTGGTCTGATCCCGTGATGACGTAAACGTTGTCGAACTGTGTTGGGGTGGATATGGCGAAGTCCTGGGATGGTTCGGGCGGTCATCACTGCAGTCTGAAACCTGTGGCGAAGATGGGTCACCCTTATCCATATGTCCTGTCTTTGCGTTGTTACACGTGGACGTCCAGAACGTGGCCGATCGATGACGTCATTTGTGTTTTGGTAGCGTCTCACCAGTGCAGAAATGGTCTTCCGGTGGCAGTGGAAATGTGCAGCCACTTGTCGTTGAGACATTCCCTCACGGACCATCCCAATGGCCTCATGATGTTGTGCAGACGTGAGCCTTGGCATGCTATGCGTTTCAATAGCCGTTTAATTTTTTGAACGATCGCAAGGGCAGGGGTTGAGCTTTCCAAAGTGACAGTATTGTGTGGCATTCATTTGCTCTGTTTCTCTTTCCTGGAATGCACGTGCAACAACGTATTGCATGTCTCAAGGACGAACCCACTGACGTCACGGAACGTGGCACGTGCATGCATGTTGGATACATGTGACTAATCTCTGAGTTTAAAATCCTTATGTGTCTACACAGGTTTGATAAATATATTTTTTAATTTTTGTATGCACAGTTTCCTTATGTGCCTAGTATACTTTTTAGGCAAACCGACTTCATCAATGCGAAAGTTGCTGCTCTTCTCAACACATTGCACATAAACTAGAATCAATGGTTGAGCATTTTCTTAAACACTGGGTCTCAACAGATTTGATATGGAACTGCCCTTGGTTGACGCTCATCTCTGCACCTTCCACCAGCCAGATCAACGTTGATGTTGAGATTATGTCTATACCATGGCTCGTTAAAGAGCAGTGCGGAATGGTTTGTGCACAATTTTTGTTCTGCCAAGATGAGCCTCCATGTTAATCAAACCACGCCCTCAGGGGATCAGAGGCTGGGTGATCTGTTGCCTGACATGGTTCCTCTTGCGGAGGTCTAAATACCCTGAATGTCTGACTTCGTAAAACAGACAACATCTAAATATATGAAATGACGGGTACAGCATAAGTATTTGTGGGTTTGACTACATTACGGGCGTCCAGCTCTCATGATGTTTCATTGCAGTATAGAGGGTTCGGGTGATCCTGTCAGATCCTGGTTAAGCTCGTCCTCAGCTCAGGGTCCTCGCCCCGTTTACACGCAGCCCAGACAGAGAAAGGACTTCTCTGCGGTGGTCGAACCCACCAAGAACATTTCGGACAATATGGAGACTCTCCAACAGTGCAGCCTTCTGTTTTCTCCGATTATGAATTTGTTATCATTATTGTGGTTATTTGTTTGGAAAGATTACCTTAGCAAAACATTTCCCCAATTAGTGACTTCCGCATCTTCATCCTTGGTCAATTCCGAGTGCAACTACTTGTATTTCAACTCCCTTACTAGCCCTCTTGTATATTCGGTTAGTCTTTGTCCATTTGCCTAGCGGGAATATAGTATTGAATACGCTGGAGAGAAAACGAATCATCACATCAGCAAGATTCAAACAAAAGTATTTCTAAATATATCATATCAGTTTGTAAAACTGAAAAAGATTTTGATACGAGAGAGTTAAAATGATATAATCTCAAGCCTTACATAAGGGTGCTTTCGATCAAGGACCGGATCTCGAGCTCGTGAAATCTCACATGGCTACAAATTAACAAGATATTTGCAGACCAGCGGTTTCTCGAAGTCTCTTAGCGATCCGGATCTAAGACCGTTTCCGCACTTCGGCGGATCCAGTTGTGTTCTCTAGAACTAGAAAAATGTTATGTCGGAAGCAAATAATCGCTTAAGCTGTGTCTAGATCAAGGATGGTATATTTTTTATGGAAAGAAATCTGTTAAAAAGTTGAAAAGTACCTATGACACTTTAAAAAGAAAATTACCCTCAAGGCCAAAAAGGCGAAATGGTTATCGGGTGCCTAAGCATTACGTTCTTACAACATGCTTTGAATCCAGGGAGGTCATCAACAAGGAGTTTGAACAAAGTGACTATTTATACACAGATAACCTTGTGACACTTATATTCTGTTTAATGCAATTTTTGCACATCCACCCACGTACTACGAATTTGAACAAAGTGACTATTTATACACAGATAACCTTGTGTCACTTATATTTTGTTTAAAGCATTTTTTTGTAAACCCACTCACCTACTTTACCAAAAGACGTAAGGAAGTTCCGGTGGAGCTAAAGGCGTGACTGACCTACCGACAACTGGTGTTGAATACATAATTAATGAGAACAGTAATTTAACGCTGATATCAGCAGTTTTCCTTGTACGAGATATATGAAACCAAAGTTTTCATTTGATAATGATGCTTGTAGGGGACACAAACAAAAGGCATTCCAGGAACTTCGGTTTAAACCAAACAAGGTGCTTCATCCTCCTTGTCAGGTAGTGTCGTGGTGACTTGATACGGACTACTTAAGATGTAGTTGGTTAACTGTAGTTCAGTGTGGATGGAGTTAGATGTTAGATGTTAGTTAATGTTAGTGGTCTGCATTTACCGAAAAGCCGTCTAGGTGTATTTCAGTTAGATTAAATGAGTAAGGTTTTACGCCGTTTTTGCACTATTCCAGAAATATCACGACAGGAGAAAACTTAAATGGGCTTCACACATTGAACCCATGTCGGGAATGCAATTCCGGTATTTGTTGTGACGAGCGAAAGCTTTAGTTCCTAAAGATACATCGCGATAATATATTTCAGTACTGTAAGGTGAATTTACAATAATGTGACCTCAAATTAAATATATTTACGATATGATTTAACCTCACGATAACGTATGTATCGGAGTATCCATGCTAGCGTCGAAATGAACATATCAGTTGCACATCTATGCACACTGAATCTTCATCCATCCAGAACCCATAACACCGAAATTCAGCATTTGAATACGTCTAAGGTTGCCTTATGATGTGAAGGACGTTTCAATGGACTCTTCATACACTGGTCTGGATCGCTCTGGATCTGTGCGAGTTCACTGGGAACGATACCGTCGGATTAAAGGGCTTGCGTTGGACGAAAATTTGCTTTGTCTCTCCAAGCCCCCGAGGCTTTTAACGCAATGTCAGTATGTCTGTCCCATCACCCGACAACATCACTGATGAGAATTAAAAGCGTATATCATTAACGCACTCCTACTCAGCGAAACGCTCTTGGGATTCCGGAAATGTCAAGGGAGAGTGATTTCATTTCAGTTATACATTAGTCATTACACAGGTATTGTGTTTCAAGCATTTTATGATATGTGATTGTTTTTCTTCCTGCCAGACCGGATGTACTGGAACGTGTACGACCCAATCAACTTAGCGGAAGGCATGTTTGCTGTAGGGAATATTCTCAGCTTTTCTCGAATCTCGTATCTTCTCCCCGCAAACGAGACTCTCGGGCCTCTACAGATCTCCCTTGGAAGGATGATCAAGGTAAGGGGTCATCTAACATGTGTTTGTTGAATAAGATTTTCATCTAAGACGTCAACGTATTAACATACCCGCCATTCAATATTCGAGAATGTGTATGTGCGTGTGTTACCGCCTGTCCATTCCCATGTTGAAACAGAAAGATTACCCGTGGAGAATTCCAACTGACAAAAGGAAATGTATGAAAAGCAATAAATGCAATGATGACAATATCCACCCAATCGATCTACCTAAAGCTGCCCAGGGCGTTAATCAAGGATAATCTTCCTGAGAGAGTCAAGTAGCCCTTTGCTAATTACAAACACACTCAATCGAACGCACACGACCGCACACACACACACGCCAGCGTTATTCATATGGATAAATAGATAGACAAGCTGGACACAACTATAAAGGTTCCAACGCACATTATATCTCTTGGGGTAAACAAATCGTCGGCCACTATGTTTCACATAATTTCTTCTCAAACAAATCGTAATTCAATTAAGTTAATTTAAAGTGTGCATAGTTCAACATTTGTTCATCCGTGTAACGTCTGTTTGAGACCTTTGTAGGTGTATCAGGTCAAGTTAAGTCACGAGTTAGGCCATGTGTTTGTCGTGAGAGGTGATATAAAACAATCGGGTGGTTGGAAGTGAGACCTGGATGATCGTGTTTTCATTGACGTTTTGAATTAATGCTCATGCTATCACCCACTTGTATATGCAGATCCTGTTGTGATACAGCGGAAACACAGCTGCGTCAAACATCATTTGCACAACAACAAATCAATTTAGAGAACTGCTTGTACATGATTGCGGAAATCAAAAGTGACACTGACATTTTGAAGGAACAACGAATGTTAACATTTAATATGCCGTTACATTAACTTTCTTTTGTAATGTCAAATACTCTTGTTTGGTTTACCCGTGAAGGTACGGGTTAGAATGAGCCTTCAGTAACCCATGCTTGTCGTAAGAGGCGACTAACGGGATCGGGTGGTCAGGGTCGCTGACTTGGTTGACACATGTCATGGGTTCCCAATAGCGCAGATCGATGCTCATGCTGTTGATCACTGGATTGTCTGGTCCAGACTCGATTATTTACAGACCGCTGCCACATAGCTGGAAGATTGCTGAGTGCGCTGCCACATAGCTGGAAGATTGCTGAGTGCGGCGAAAACTAAACTCACTCACTCACTCACTTGTTTGGTTTATTAGTATTCTGTAAGAATCTGAACATGCCTTGGAAGGAGAGTTTCTGCTCACAGAGTAGCTACAACTCCCCCTGAACTGTCTGCAGTGTTTGATGAGTGATCACATACACAGCGTATTTCCCTTGTGAATCTCCACATAATCGACGTACAATGTATAAGCTCGTTGAACATCACTAACATGAGGGGTTGAGGTTTATTACCCTGCAATGCAAGAATGAAGGGACGCAGGTGGCGGTTCGAGAAGACAACAGTTTATAAATACTCTCTGCATCCCTTTGTACGTCATCCCACCTTTCGTGAGGAAAACACCCTGACGAGATTATGAGCAAGGACAAGGCCAATTTCAACTGACGTCAGTAAAATATGATACAAACATTTATATGAACACGAGGTGCAGATGGACCAAACCCCACACAAAGAAAACAATTAAGCTTGATTATTTTCAAAGGCAAACTTTACATGGCAATTGTCAGTGAATTGTAAGAACACCTTTGAGAAGTAGGCAAGCTCTTTAAACCATAAAACACAGACGAAAAGGACAAGCGTTTCTCTAATCCTTCCTGAAGGATATCAAGTAAATTGAGTAAACATCGTTAGCTGAATAGGAATGTATGAGTGTGTGATGGAAAAAGTAGGGCTTAGATGGAACAACATTTTTCATGTTAAACGAATCTTATGCTCTGAACTTCAAATGCCAGTTTACTGAATCTGTTTATGATTTAGTCAGAACATTCTGCCAGTATCTTCTTTTAGGAGGGGCGGTAGGGTAACCTTCCTTACATGGGTTCGATTCCTCACATGGGTACAGTGTGTGAAGCCCATTTATTGTGTCCCCCGCAGTGATATTGCTGAAATATTGCTAAAAGCGGCGTAAAACTAAACTGACTCACTCACTCTTCATGTATTCATATATATAATTTTTCGAAACTATGTTATTTATTTATTGTACGTATTTATCAAACGATACATGATATTTTAAAAATGTGATCAAGATATAGTTACTACATGACAATACATTGAATAAACATTAACTTTTTTATGAATAATTCAGAATACAACAAAACAAAGAGATGGACGTAATTGCTGTTTTGTCAGATGTCAGTTTTAGATTATATATTATTTCTATCACCCGTCTTATTTCCTCAAAATAACTCTCATTTCGATTTACATTTGAACGTGACTGTCATACAATTTGGATAAAACACGCAACTATGATCGATGTGTTTGTATTTTATTTTTGAAGAATGATTGTAATTGATACATTTTCATGATTCATATAACCTTGAATTGTCATTCATATTTTTGTGTCAAGACATGGTGCCTAAGCTCACAACGTAACACATTTCAAATGATGATGAAACAACTACCTGTGGTTGTGCATCATCTTTGTCAACTGCCTCAGTATCAAGGGAGCGAGGAATGTGTTTGTGGGCGATGTCCACATGGATCCCGCTTCAATCAAACCCGTATTGATACTCGATAAACGCGTAAACAGGGTAAACGGGTGTAGAAGTCTACATATTCAAGTGATCTTGCAAAATATATGCAATCGTGAAAGTTGTTTTTAAGCCTTTAAGCAATGGCACGTACACATGGAATGGTTTAATCACTCAAGCTAATGAACAAAGAAGGATAGTGCTACCGATTACAGCTTTGTAATCAAAGATGACGTGCTTCACAAGCCTGCAGGAACTTCACCTTCGATCGATCAAACGTGATAATGATGTAACAGATGCTAGGATATATCTTGATTACAGTTGACAGAGCAACGCTCGGTGTTATTTTCATAGGTTGTCAACATTCATCAACATTGATATGCCTCTGAAAGCTTAATGTTACACTTTCTCTCGTTCACTGGAATGTGTTTCCTATCAAGCTCAGATTCTTTGACTGAAACGGCTCTCAGCAATTGTTGTAAATTGAGATAACGAATTCGGAATCTGAAAAGCAATGTTCGAAAGACTTCTAAATTACACAAAGACATGATGTCCAATGAGATTTAAAGCTCTACCCTTAGAAACTATGAAAACATGTTTCTTTTTCGAACGAAACGAAGTTAGGTCATTGCTTAACATAAGAGACTTGCACACCTTCACACCAACGAGAAAGACCAGCTTAAACATGCAATTCACTAGTAGTTGTTTGTGAGGATTCTTCGTCCGATAGAAAGGTGCATAGATACGTGTAACCCTTTAGCGTATATAGTGCATAAACACGTGTACTTCATCAGATGAAAAATGCATTTACACACGTATGTTTTCAAATAAGAAAGGTGCATATAAACATGGACTTAATCAAATAAAAAGATGCATATAAACATGTACTTAATCAGATAAAACAGGTGCATATAAACATGTACTTCATCAGATAAAAAAGGTGCATATAAACATGTACTTCATCAGGTAAAAAGGTGCATATAAACATGTACTTTATCAGATGAAAAATGCATTTACACACGTATGTTTTCAAATAAGAAAGGTGCATATAAACATGGACTTAATCAAATAAAAAAGATGCATATAAACATGTACTTAATCAGATAAAACAGGTGCATATAAACATGTACTTCATCAGATAAAAAGGTGCATATTAACATGTACTTCATCAGGTAAAAAGGTGCATATAAACATGTACTTCATCAGATAAAAAAGGTGCATATAAACATGTACTTCATCAGATAAAAAATGTGCATATAAACATGTACTTCATCAGGTAAAAAGGTGCATATAAACATGTACTTCATCAGATAAAAAAGGTGCATATAAACATGTACTTCATCAGGTAAAAAGGTGCATATTAACATGTACTTCATCAGGTAAAAAGGTGCATATAAACATGTACTTCATCAGGTGAAAAGGGGCATATAAACATGTACTCAATCAGGTAAAAAGGTGCATATAAACATGTACTTCATCAGATAAAAAAGGTGCATATACACATGTACTTCATCAGGTAAAAAGGTGCATATTAACATGTACTTCATCAGGTAAAAAGGTGCATATAAACATGTACTTCATCAGATAAAAAAGGTGCATATAAACATGTACTTCATCAGGTGAAAAGGGGCATATAAACATGTACTCAATCAGGTAAAAAGGTGCATATAAACATGTACTTCATCAGATACAAAAGGTGCATATAAACATGTACTTCATCAGGTAAAAAGGTGCATATAAACATGTACTTAATCAGATCAAAAATGTGCATATAAACATGTACTTCATCAGATAAAAAATGTGCATATAAACATGTACTTCATCAGGTAAAAATGTGCATATGCATGTGTACCCTGCAGGAGTAATCAGTGCATATACACGTGTACGCCTGCAGATTAGAAAGTGCATATACACACGTACCATTGTTATTCCTTTCAGGACATTCTGAAGTTCTTGGCGCTGTTCTCAGTGGTCATCCTGGCATTCATGGTCGGGCTGCATAACCTGTACTGGTACTATAGCTCCCGCCACGATATCGAGGTTGTGCAGCGCAATTTCACCGTCAACGCCGAGAAGAGTTTTGGAGAGTAAGTGTGAACACGTTTACTTCAGATTCAGCGTTTACTTCACGATTCCAGGGCGGGGCATATCTATGCAATTTCACTAATAGTCAGTACAATTAATTTTACATTTCCACACATTATACATGAAATATAACACTTATTATTATTATAATTATTCTCTCAGACACACAATACAAACACTTTTCCATGATCATATATTAATTTGATGCAAAGGAAAATCTCTTTTGCTTTGTGTTCTCATTTGTTGTGTCAAAAAACATTTCGAAGATGCATTTACGTACTCTTTCCCAGGTCATATACCTAAATATGATCGCAGAAACAAAACTGACATATTCAAAACTCAGTCAGAATATGTACATCAGTAATTCTTTTCGTTCAAATAAAAAATGAATGTATCATATTGAGAGTAGAGCTTAAACATGTCAATTTCTCAATATGTAATATCGACACAGACAACAGGTAATTATTGTTATTGGCCCCAGACGCATTGGATTTCTTTGCTTTGAAAATCGCCCATTGGGATAAAATACCACATTCGCCATGTTTCTAGTTTTACTCGGTGATATACGTCTTCAGTTTGGCTTTTTGTACCATGTTACTGAAACTCTGTGATGTATCCGTCTTTCACAACTTTCTATATATTATAAACTAATCTTGTATATCTACAAATTAACAAAATTTTAAGTAACTCCCTGTTAGCCATTAAGATGTAGAAAGTAAAGTCCCCAGTGGGATTACATGCTTTACACGGTAAAGTTGTTTGCAGGGTTATATTTTAAACCTCACATTGAGCTTTTCTCTTCTCTAATGATAAAGCACAGATAATGCTAGTAATGCGTCTGGCCCACATCCGGGTCACAAGGAGTGCTCCCCTCATTTTCCAGACAATACTATGTATTTATCTTAAGGAGGGGTCAATAGGGAAGAGGCCCATGCAAGCGGACGCATGTTTGAACACTGGTCTTGTGGAACGCTTTATGTCAACTAAATCCTAATGTACGCCCTTTAACGATGGGTTCGCATGCGCACCTTTGGCAAATTGAACCAATCCTGTCCCAGCGAGACAAATTTCGGGTAAACGTTTCCTGTGTTCTTTGAATGTTGAAACAAGATGTCAGACATTTTTTAAAAAAATAAAAGACACGTACAGTAGTCACGAAAAACAACACTCACGACTGCACTAAACGACCTTTTGTTGCTTTTCATCTGTTTTGGGTAAAGTTGCGAATAACCAGGGACTCCCTGTCGTCACTCGCAGTATGTACTATGATGCTGAGCTTAACGACGAGGAGGTTGTTGAGGAAAGGAAGTTTGTCGTTTTCGCCGCACAGTTGGAGTTCTTGATTTTCATAGTGTTTGTTAAAAATTAAAGCGGCTTGCAATCCTTGTATGACTAATGAAAACTTTGGAGGACTACCATGGAAATTGTGTCTATTCGCCCAAACTATCATAAACAAATAATTAATGGCTGCTCTTAAAACAATTTGCGTCACAACAGAAATTAAGGTTTGTTTGTAACAAAACCAATGAGATATATGGGACAATTTGTTTTGTCAGCCGAGATCTACTTAGTTGTCCAAATGTCGAATGTAGCCTCACATACTGAAAATGAGAGTGAATCAGTGCATGAAACATGTGAACTTATGTAAATGTATTGAAAATTTCGTTTCTTTTGTATTTTCGCAGGGCAGTAGTTGCGACCTATTGGACAAATAGAGATATTACTAATAAACACACATTCTCGGCATTCACAAGAATTGAATATGAGCAAATACTTAATGCTAATATGCTAACCAAATGATGTCAAATTTTAAAAAAACCTGGCTTTTCCTGCTTATAATAATGTCCAATGCTGCTGATTTGCTGTTGTTGCCTATAATTTCATCTCTCCGCATCGTCGATTAATGATTCTGTTATCTTAAAATATAAAACCCGATAGAATCATTTTTGTTTGGAAGTGAAACAATTTAGAAAACGACATCACTTCTTGAGTCTTGGCCTTTGTTCTTGACGTATATTGATATAATCACTAGTACATTTACCTTCGCAGCGTAATGGCGACGTTCCGGACTGTGTTCTGGTCCCTGTTTGGTCGAGGCGAACCAGGAGCAGTACAACTAGGTGAATACAACCATACGTTGACCCAGGATATCGGCTACTTCATATACGGCAGCTACAACATCGCAATGGTTACCGTTCTCCTCAACATGCTCATCGCCATGATGACACGGTCATTCACTAATATTGCGGTACGTACTGCCAATAGTGTTATTGTTGCATAGTAATAATTAATACGTTGCCTTGTAAATTTCATTGCTATCTAAGTTGTTCAATTCACGACAGGGACAATTTTGAATTCAGAACACCTTCGGCTTGCAAATTGAAACGTTTAAGCAATTTATATGGCAGAGATGTTTCCTTGAGCTAAGTAATCTGTGCCATTTGATAGTTTAGTAGGTTCAAGCAGAACCTTGATCATGGTATCAGTTTCTTTCTGGAGGCACTACTGTTGAATCCTCAGGGAATCTCGTCGGCGGAATATCAGGTTGTTCTCCCAAGTTGACTTTTGATATCTGATAAAATTCAATTACATTGCTTTTTGACTTGAAATAAGAATCTCACGTTGGGCGATTATTCTAGCTAGAATATTATGACCAAAATCGAGGCAGTGATGACACCGTGATCTTTCTTGTCTGAGCTATATCATATAACATATAGTCACCTTGACCTGTACAGTGTCACCAATACTTGCCGTGAGCTGCACAATGCAACATACAGTTGCCGTGAACTGTACAATGTCACAAATAGTTGTCGTGAACTGTACAGTGTAACAAACAGTTGCCGTGAACTGTACAGTGTAACGTACAGTTGCCGTGAACGGTATAGTGTAACATATAGTTGCCGTAAACTGTACAGTGTTACATAAAGTTGCCAAGAACAGTACAGAGTAACATACAGTTGCCGTGAACTGTAGAGTGTAACAAATTCTTGCCGTGCAATGTACAGTGTAAAAAAGTTGCCGTGAACTGTACAGTGTAACATACAGTTGCTGTGAACTGTACAGTGTAACATATAGTTGCCGTAAACTGTACAGTGTAAAATAGTTGCCGTGAACTGTACAGTGTAACATACAGATGCCGTGAACTGTAGTGTGTAGCATATAGTTGGAGTGAACTGTACAGTGTAACATAGCTGCCGTGAACTGTACAATGTAACATATAGTTGCCGTGAACTGTACGGTGTAATGTAGTTGCCGTGAACTTTACACTGTAAAATATAGTTGCAGTGAACTGTACAGTGTAATATACAGTTGTCGTGAACTGTACAGTGTAACATAGTTGCCGTGAACTGTACAGTGTAACATAGTTGCCGTGGACTGTTCAGTGTAACATAGCTGCCGTGAACTGTACAGTGTAACATATACTTGTCGTGAACTGGACAGTGTAACATATAGTTGCCGTGAACTGTACAATGTAACATACAGTTGCAGTGAACTGTACGATGAAACATACAGTTGACATGATCTGTACAGTGTAACACAGTTGCAGTGAACTATACAAAGTAACATATAGTTGACGTGAACTGTACAGTGTAACACAGTTGCAGTGAACTATACAATGTAACATACAGTTGTCGTGGACTGTACAGTGTAACATACAGTTGCCGTGAACTGTACAGTGTAACATACAGTTGCCGTGGACTGTACAGTGTAACATACAGTTGCCGTGAACCTTACAGTGTAACATACAGTTGCCGTGGACTGTACAGTGTAACATACAGTTGCCGTGAACTGTACAGTGTAACATACAGTTGCCGTGGACTGTACAGTGTAAAATAGTTGCCGTGAACTGTACAGTGTAACATACAGATGCCGTGAACTGTAGTGTGTAGCATATAGTTGGAGTGAACTGTACAGTGTAATGTAGTTGCCGTGAACTTTACACTGTAAAATATAGTTGCAGTGAACTGTACAGTGTAATATACAGTTGCCGTGAACTGTACAGTGTAACATAGTTGCCGTGAACTGTACAGTGTAACATAGTTGCCGTGAACTGTACAGGGTCACATAGTTGCCGTGGACTGTTCAGTGTAACATAGCTGCCGCGAACTGTACAGTGTAACATATACTTGTCGTGAACTGGACAGTGTAACATATAGTTGCAGTGAACTGTACAATGTAACATACAGTTGCAGTGAACTGTACGATGAAACATACAGTTGACATGATCTGTACAATGTAACACAGTTGCAGTGAACTATACAATGTAACATATAGTTGACGTGAACTGTACAGTGTAACACAGTTGCAGTGAACTATACAATGTAACTTACAGTTGCCGTGGACTGTACAGTGTAACATACAGTTGCCGTGAACCTTACAGTGTAACATATATACATGCCGTGGACTGTACAGTGTAACATACAGTTGCCGTGAACCTTACAGTGTAATATACAGTTGCCGTGGACTGTACAGTGTAACATATATACTTGCCGTGGACTCTACAGTGTAACATACAGTTGCCGTGAATCTTACAGTGTAACATACAGTTGCCGTGAACCTTACAGAGTAACATACAGTTGCCGTGGACTGTACAGTGTAACATACAGTTGCCGTGAACTATACAATGTAACATACAGTTGCCGTGGACTGTACAGTGTAACATACAGTTGCCGTAAACCTTACAGTGTAACATATATACTTGCCGTGAACTGTACAGTGTCACATATAGTTGCCGTGAACTGTACAGTGTAACATATAGTTGCCGTGAACAGTACAGTGTAACATATAGGTGCCGTGAACTGTACAGTGTAACATATAGTTGCAGTGAACTGTACAGTGTAACATACAGTTGCCGTGGACTGTATAATGTAACATACAGTTGACGTGAACTATACAGTGTAAAATAGTTGCCGTGAACTGTATTATCACATACAGTTGCCGTGATCATTACAGTGTAACATACAGTTGACGTGAACTGTACAGTGTAAAATAGTTGCCGTGAATCTTACAGTGTCACATATAGTTGCTGTGAACAGTACAGTGTAACATACAGTTGCCGTGAACTGTACAGTGTAACATATAGTTGACGTTAACTGTACAGTGTCACATATAGTTGCCGTGAACCTTACAGTGTCACATACAGTTGTCGTGAATCTTACAGTGTCACATACAGTTGCCGTGAACCTTACAGTGTAACATACAGTTGCCGTGAACTATACAATGTAACATACAGTTGCCGTGGACTGTACAGTGTAACATACAGTTGCCGTGGACTGTACAGTGTAACATACAGTTGCCGTGGACTGTACAGTGTAACATACAGTTGCCGTGGACTGTACAATGTAACATACAGTTGTCGTGAATCTTACAGTGTCACATACAGTTGCCGTGAACCTTACAGAGTAACATACAGTTGCCGTGGACTGTACAGTGTAACATACAGTTGCCGTGGACTGTACAGTGTAACATACAGTTGACGTGAACCTTACAGTGTAACATATATACTTGCCGTGAAATGTACAGTGTCACATATAGTTGCCGTGAACTGTACAGTGTCACATATAGTTGCCGTGAACTGTACAGTGTAACATATAGGTGCCGTGAACTGTACAGTGTAACATATAGTTGCCGTGAACTGTACAGTGTAACATACAGTTGACGTGAACTATACAGTGTAAAATAGTTGCCGTGAACTGTATTATCACATACAGTTGCCGTGAACCTTACAGTGTAACATACAGTTGACGTGAACTGTACAGTGTAAAATAGTTGCCGTGAATCTTTCAGTGTCACATATAGTTGCCGTGAACAGTACAGTGTAACATACAGTTGCCGTGAACTGTACAGTGTAACATATAGTTGACGTTAACTGTACAGTGTCACATATAGTTGCCTTGCACCATGAAATATGAGGTTTAGCTAGTTCCAACTGTACAGTTTTACATTATTACCTTGAACTGTTCAATGTCATATCTAGTTGCCTTGAACAGTACAATGCTACATGCAGTTACCTTGCACCGTGCAATGTCACGTATAGCTTCGAAATGTACAGTTTCACAATAGTTATCATGAACTGCACACGGTCTGTTAGGTCGTAGCCCATTAGTCATACACCCATTTCTCATACGGCCACTAGGCATACTGAACGGACCGGATTCATTTAAACAAGTTTCATGATTCCTTGCGTTTAATTATATTTTATAACCTCAGGCTTGCACCTTTCCATTCGTTTTATTTCTCACAAGTAGCAGATTGTAAGTATTTGTTTCAAATTATGGTTAATTACAGTAGTTAAATTCTAGCTTCATTTTAGAAAATATCAAAACATATATCGTAATCAACACAAAATATACTCCTAGTCATATCGAGATTTGTAAACAATGTTATATAAGTCCTATTCTGTAAGATATCATTTCACGTTCACATGAACTTATATGAAGATCTAACGGAAACAAAGGCTCTGTACAATCGGCACTTCTCTTGATCATTACTAGATCAAAAGACTCGTTAAACACATTCATGTGGCACATTTTCAAATTGGCAAATACCGGTCCATTAACATGTCCAAGAACCACTTTTGCACGTTGTTCTGCGTGTGATGTATTACGACAACTCTTCAGGCGACATATCAACATCAGTATCGTGTATAACGTATGTTGAAATCGAAGTTTTAACAAAGCCTTGAAGAACAAATCACGACAGTATATGCCATATGACGCTTTTTGTACCAACATAGATTTTAATCTGAGCATATGTTAACGTTTTATGACATGAGATGTTTCCTAACATACTGCCACGTGTTCAGAAATCACTTATACAAGTTGTAGTGTGAATGCTCCAATTGAGTTCAAAGGCGCTAATGATTTCATTTTCTCCAATGACTTAACGCTCCTTCTACGCTCAACAGGAGGTGCGTTCCGATTGACACCGAGTATAATTGAATGCATTCTTTTATCCAACCTCTCTGCACTGGATATCAATTTGGCAGGAGCAGTGTGGATAATCTTCTCTGAAGTTGTGTTTCGAAGGGTTTGCGAGGGCGTCATATTACAAGTTTATGTCCCTTTCATATACCAGTCCGTATCATTAAAGAAGTATGGTTCGACCGTCCCATTAAGTTATATCTAATTGTAAACTTATGATTATGATTATGGTGATAATCTACAATAATGGTCATTTCAACAAAACAGGCTTGTCGATCATGAGGGACGAGGAGTTTTCATTTACGTTTCACAAACGTCAAGAGGTTGTCTGAAACAAACAAGTGTCAGGAAGCTACCCTTATGCTATAATATATGACTAAACACAATAATAATATAACATGGTGGAATGATTCTTATATTTCAGGAAGATTCCGATGTCCAGTGGAAGTTTGCGCGAAGTCTCCTGTACATGGACTACATCCTGGATGCCTTCATTCTTCCAGTTCCTCTCAACCTCCTGCAAGTCCCAAGAAGCATCTTTACTTCAATCTTCTGTCCCTGTGAATGCTCCTCCAACGAGGGCACCGTGAAAAGATCAAGGTTTCAAAATGACGCTGCTATAGTTTCAGGGGTACGTGGATTATTCTTGTCTGTGGTTAGACGCGTAAGCCAACAACATGAACATTTTAGAAATGCCAGTAGGAACTAACCCCATATATTCCCAGAAGTTATAAGAATTAATCAACTGTTGACCCGGAAGCAGTACAAGGTCATAGAAACAAGATATTATACCATCACCTCAAACTCGCTTGTATTTATCATCATGGATGCATTTGTGCTATTAATCCTTTTTATACGTTGTTAATGAAGTAGTTGTTTGATGTTGGTTAGTATACTTCATGAATACTAATATGTATCGTAAATTTGAGAAGTAAGCTTAGTTCATGTGGATGTTATTAACTTTGGTTCATTAATGTTTATTCATACCTAAGCAATATACTTTAGCCTACTGAAATATGCCTTTTTAAAGTTTATTCCTCATCCAAGAAACACATGAAGAATCAATAAGTCTATCCTATCAAATTTCAGACCTTCTACCAGGTATTCCCTTCGCACTGTAAAGTATGTGTAATCATTCTTTTACTACCTTCATTTCTTTGAGTTTACTTGACAATTCAGCATGAGTTGCGATCAGTGTGATATGGAAATAAAACATTGTGTCCTATCATTATTCAAACCAAATTCGGTCTTACCAGTTGCAGTGAAATAACACAAACTTACGCAACCTGCTCATTTCGTCACTGTGTATTGATTTTATTCGTTTAGAAAATTTCCGTAGCTTCATAGATATATATATCCAAACATAAAATACAGTTTTCTGTTTGCGAAGGTTATGAGAAGGATCCTAATGCGTAACGCTTCTTCGTAAACAAATCCACGCGTGCTTTCCCTGGCGAGTTGCCTGTAGTTCCATGTCTTTCCGCATTCCTGTGTATCGGAGCGCGTGAATCTGTCGGGGGGAGGGAAAGTATGCAGTTCGGCATGGACGCCCCGTCAAGAACATCACTCACAGTACTTGAAACCCACCACCTGACAACACGTAAATAGCGGCAACCCAGCTTTAGATCTGTCCCTGACTAAAAATACACCGTTGCGTTTTGGGTCTTCATTCGGAAACCTTCACTGCTGAACCCATTCATAAGACGACTACAGTTTTGCTTATATGTTTATGGTAAACGATATCTCCCAAACTTGATAGTTTTATCTAGACACCGCTGAAAGGTTATCTTAACGCTTCTTGGTTTCTTCTACGGACGCGTGTTGTGTTTGAGGGATGGGTAACGCAGTCGCTACTTTAGATGGCTCACACTACTCTCAGATTACATCCTTTCCACAAGTATTTGGATGTAAAGAGCTCCCTGCTGCTGCGACTTTTCGCTATGGTGTTGGTAGAGTAATAGAATTTGTGGAATTCACCCTCTCTGATAATAGAACTCTATTTTTCGATGTATGTTTTTTAATGACTTTAACCGTTATATTTTTCTTTATTTTTTCTCAAAGTTTCGGGTTCTTGGTAAATCTGATGTTGCATCATTTGAGGTGTCAAGGAATTTTTGTTCTCACTTTTCAAGCAGAATGCATTTGTACAATGTCATATCACAGACAGTATCCATGATGATTTTTGTGTTCAATAACACGAACATTGATGACCAATTATTGGCACAACAACGATGAGTATTGTGACCAATCACTGACACAAACAAAGATGGGTATTGTGACCAATCACTGACGCAATCAAAGATGAGTATTGTGACCAATGACTGACACAAAGAAAGATGAGTATTGTGATTAATTACTGACACAAACAAAGATGAGTATTGTGACCAATGATTGACACAAACAAAGATGAGTATTGTGTAAAGATGAGTATTGTGACCAATGATTGGCACAAACAAAGATGAGTATTGCGATTAATTACTGACACAAACAAAGATGAGTATTGTGACCAATGATTCAGGCAATAGAGATGAGTATTGTGTTCAATGATTGACACAAACAATGATGAGTATTGTGATCAATGACTGACACAAACAAAGATGAGTATTGTGACCAATGATTCAGGCAATAGAGATGAGTAATGTGTTCAGTGATTGACACAAACAAAGATGAGTATTGTTACCAACGACTGACACAAACAATGATGAGTACTGTGACCAATGATTCAGGCAATAGAGATGAGTATTGTTTTCAATGATTGACACAAACAAAGATGAGTATTGTGACCAATGACTGGCACAAACAATGATGAGTATTGTGACCAATGATTGACATAAACAAAGATGAGTATTGTGACCAATGACTGACACAAACAATGATGAGTATTGTGACCAATGATTCAGGCAATAGAGATGAGTATTGTGTTCAATGATTGACATAAACAAAGATGAGTATTGTGTCCAATGACTGACACAAACAATGATGGGTATTTTGACCAATGATTGACACAAACAATGATGAGGACTGTGACCAATGATTGACACAAACAATGATGAGGATTGTGACCAATGATTCAGGCAATAGAGATGAGTATTGTGACAAATGACTGACACAAACAAAGATGAGTATTGTGACCAATGACTGACACAAACAATGATGAGTATTGTGACCAATGATTCAGGCAATAGAGATGAGTATTGTGTTCAATGATTGACATAAACAAAGATGAGTATTGTGACCAATGATTGACACAAACAAAGATGCGTATTGTGACCAATGACTGACACAAACAATGATGAGTATTGTGACCAATGATTGACACAAGCAATGATGAGTATTGTGACCAATGATTTAGGCAATAGAAATGAGTATTGTGTTCAGTGATTGACACAAACAAAGATGAGTATTGTGACCAATAACATCATATCATATCACAGACAGTATCCATGATGATTTTTGTGTTCAATAACACGAACATTGATGACCAATTATTGGCACAACAACGATGAGTACTGTGACCAATGACTGACACAAACAATGATGAGTATTATGACCAATGATTGACACAAACAAAAATGAGTATTGTGACCAATGATTGACACAAATAAAGATGAGTATTGTGATTAATTACTGACACAAACAAAGATGAGTATTGTGACCAATGATTCAGGCAATAGAGATGTGTATTGTGTTAAGTGATTCAAACAATAGATATGCGAATTGTGGTCAATGATTTAAACAACAAAAGAATTCTAGTCAATGATTCAAACAATTAAGTGTGTATTGTGATCAGTGCTTAAACAGTAGAGATAAGTATTGTGATCAAGGATTCAAATAATATTGGCGACTAATAAGCTCAATGATTGAAACAACACCGTGATGATGCAGTAATGTTTGATAAACGAAGTAAACGAATGTGAGATTTACCTCACTACTACAATTGATGTATGGATATTGTAAAAACTATTTTCCGACTGAAAGTTACCGGCAATTTGTTTGCAAAGATCCAATGAAACCATGCATTTGGCTTGTACTGCTAATTATTTCAGTGATAGTCTTGACTGTCTTTGCCTGCACACTATCCCAACACATGCATGTATCGTGATTGTAGACTGGAAACCAAATAATTTTAACAAAACTGAATAGCTGTTTATGAGATTAATAGCACGAGTGAAACCTTCAGATATTGGTACTCCGAGGACATTAATCTGTTGGGCAGCAACACAGTATCTGAAATCATAGCGCTAAGCTAGGGCACTTTCCATAGCATTTAAGCAATGCTATTTAGCACAACTATCACATATTTCTAAACTCCTATTTCAGAATATCATCAATATTCTATACAACCGATATCACAAATTCCCCAATAAAATCGAGTACCTCTTTTTTATTTACAATTGCGCACAAGCTGAGGAACCTGGCGCGGTTACATAATTGCCGCTGATTGATTGATCTAGCATAGCTATTTACCATCTGCAAATTAAAGGGGTTATGTTGTGACGAATTGCCAAAGGGCTGATGGCTTGATTAGCGTAAAACATTGTACAGAAGGGCAAATTCTGAACATTCGTCGAACGCTTTTTATGATAGATTGTTTCAACTTTTTCTCCTATTTCCCTGAAAATAGCGAGCTAATTTAAACAGTCGAACTAGGAGGGAAATCTTTGATTGACAAACGCTCTGGGAAGATGATCGTTGTTCGTTTCCGGCTCGTCTGAACTGTCTCGGGACACCGAATTCCGAATCAGCTCGCTGATAAAAGTAGCAATATTTGTTTATGTTGCTCCTAAACCACCCCAAAATAACCCCCGTGTCTATATTGAGTACTTCACAAGTTGTTCTGCGGGGAACTAGAGGTGTATGAGCGCGGTTTGCGCCGTTGGTTGGGGGCATTCCATTCAGTCCAGATTATGAAAACAGAAGTGCCACGTTTCAATTCTCAGAATTCTTCGCTTGAATTGCGACCCTTGGAGGCCTAGACTTGAAATATGCCCTAGCCGTCTAGTGACTGACAGTTAAGATAACTCACTTAGCTCAATGAAACACCACCCTGGTGGTAAAGAACGGCAATTGCTACTCTGCTGCTCTGAACGGATTTGCACGTACACCCACTACAACCGAATGCTAACAAGACACAAAGGTCGTTTGTATGGAAGTTAATTCATATACCTTCACCCAGCAAGATGAGTTGCCTTCAACTATGAACTATTCTGCGAAACATAATGAATTCCGTTAATCATCAAACAACATCTTTTACAATATTAATTACAAAATGTACTGATTTACTGTCATGTGAAAGAAAATGCACACCGTTACATATCAAAATCTTTATTCAGGGAACGTGACACATTCTTTCAACGGTGTCGCCCTTATATATCTGTTTTACCGTTTTACGGAGTTTTCTGTACACAACTTTGTAGATTTGGGGTTTTTCGGGGGTTTTTTTTGCTTGTATTTTCATGATCATGGCCAACATAAAATTGAACTGAATTTGGTCGTGACCCTTCCTTTCATACTTATTAAAACACATGTTGTAATGCATTTTCAGAAATAACATTATATGAAATGAATAAGAAAGTTTTCACTCGTTTTATTATGTATTTGCGATATTTTCTAATTTTTCATATCAGTTAATTCCAAAATATATTGATTCTAGGATATATTGCATGTTGCATTTTAATATTGTATAAAGGATTCTATAGAAATGGGATTACCTGAAAATGAATACCCGGAAACCATAACAAATGAAATTATGTATTATGAAACTAGTATATTCTTTGAATTTCGATGCGAGTGCATTGTATGTATCCGTGGTTCAGTGAATATGAGACTTGTAATTTGTAAGGATGTAAAACAGTTAGCATAACATGATGAAATGAGATACTCTGTACATGATATTCAAGCCAATACAATTACTCTGCAGCAATCTGCTATCGTATAACAACTACATATACAATTAAAATGAATTACGTAGGTTTAGAAAAATCTCGCGTGACGAAGTTTCAACATAACTAAGCAAATAATATCGTGATGAAATGACAGCATTTGAAATTGAAGTAATCAGTAGCCTGTGCCGATATGTTCATTATGTTCTTGTTGATTCTGACAGACGTCGAACCCTGCGTGTGAAACTACTGCAGTAGAGATGCATGAGAGCAATGCAAGAAATGGTGTGGAGGGAACTGTTTCCAGCGTTGCAGATGACCTGATGTTGCAGGATATCAAAGAGGAGCTTACCTATCAGGCAAGTTTGTCATCGACAAGTATATATTGGCACATGTGACCCAGGTGTTTGCATCATGTTTCAGTAGGGCCCGTAAGTAGGTCACGGCACTTCGCGAGACCTTAGTACTCCCGGTGACAAACATGCAACGCACACTTGGTCCGGTCTAGTATAGTCAGATGCTCGATGGGCATTTAGAAGTTGGAAGGTAACATAACAACGTATGGTATGGATTTACAACTTCTTTAATATTTACAACACAACGTTTTTCGGCGAATCTGGGGAATGAAGGGGCAAGAAGTAGCCGAGAAACGTCCATACCATATGTTGTTGTCATACCATACGTTGTTGCAATATTTGGCGGTCGCGCAATTTTGTACCAGAACTGGTTCTTGAATATCCACTTGTCACCGGAAATCTGGTACCGGAAATAAGCTGGGTCCCGTCTCGCATAGGGAGCCGGGAACCAGCTAACTACCAGGACTAGAGACTCGCCAGACTTGAAGCCCTAACATTCAAGAGTAGAAACACCCATAATTTGTCTGTTATGGAACAGGTATGTAAACGTTCCTGACTGTAATCTACGGAAAGGTGCCTTGGACTAGAGTGGTCCAATCTAACAGGTGTTGCTGCATGTTACACACACGTTGATTTCAATATATATTATTGTTACAGAAAGTCATTCAGAGAATCATCCAGCGCTACATCTTCGATATCCAAAGGGAAGCTGAGGTTACGGAAGGTGAGTTGCATTGATGATTACTTTCGCAAATTTTCTCTTAACAGGATAAGGGACAATTTATATGTCGTCAATTCGAAATTGTTATGTTTTCACCAGTGCCATACGAGGACGGAAGTTGTTTAAAGTGCCATACGAGGACTGGAAATCGATGTTATCATATTCCGTGAGAGTGAGAGCAATGTCTGAAATTTTAGACTGTTATATACTTATCAACGGAGTATGTCTCTTATGTTTTCTTGTTCAACCTGTTGAGGCTTTTCAACATTACTTTTTCAACATAGATGCACATATACTATGTACGGCTCTACCTTCGCTCTATCTGCATGCTTTAGCTAATGATATAAATAGCATCATTCTTAAAAACTTTCTACGATTAAAAAACGTAAGAAGCAACATATGTTTATATAAGAAGTTAATTCAGATGATATATTATGTGGCAGGCTCGTGTGCAAAACGTGTGAAACGTTTGGACAGTGAGTAGAGAACGGACGTTCATATGTGTAAGCACTGAAGAAAATGTGCTGTCTCTAATTCGTGAACATTCTTGGACATTCTTGAAATCCATTCCTGTGTTTCCATGAGAATCTGGATAGTGATACCAGTTACCATTTAGTGTAAGTTTGTCATTTACCTGCTGGTGACATAGAATTCTGAGAATTGAATCACGGACGTCATGACCAAGGAACTAGCAGGCTGCAATCAATTCTATATTTTCAATTTTGTCAGCCAGCGAAATAAACGTGCTTGAGGTTTTCGCCCAAAAGCGAAACATCTCGATCTGCGTCATATGGTGGTTTTCGTAGGTCGTTATATTTGTTTGTTTCTAGCTAACCCGCCCACGTTATCATTTACAGATGACTTCGAAGAAATCAAGCAGGACATCTCCAGCTTTAGATACGAAATGATAAACCAATGGAGGACAAGGGAGACTGTCCAAAATGACATGGCCAACCATATCAGCGCCATAAACAAACACTTGGATCTGTTGAAGCATGGGAAGCGAGCGCGCGACAGTATTACGGAAAACACAGAGGACTAAGTTTGTGAATGGCCTCCACACTGTCAACACATTGTGCGCTCATCATTCCTGTGGATGATTGTCATGTTTAATGCAAGAAGTTGCTGAACAGATATGTTAGATGACGATGTGAATGTAAAACCAATTAGTAAATGGTAGCCCTTTACACAGTCAAGTTTATGGGGTGAAGAGGTTGATAGTCAACTGATTTTGTTTGGAGCAGGAAAAATGCCCCTCACACGTTGACCAATTGTGTATGAACCCTACAGTGACATTTGAAACCCTGGCCAGATATTGTGATGTTTGCCTTATACACGTTGATGAAATATGCAAATGTATCTGAGATGTAAGCTTGCTCTGACGATAGTAAGTGAACCTGCGTGCACATTAGTCTCAGTCAGTGTTGTAATCGACTGGCGATACACGACCGTTTAACTCCACAACCTTCTTGAAACATGCACAATCAGTATTTGCATTTTTATACGTGGGCTATGTTTTGTCTGTTTTATCTGTTTCACGATACGATTAAACAACATAAACGCATTCTACGTTCACTCCCTGAAATATTAGGGACCTACCATTGACCCGTAAGGAGGAAAATGTGATAACTAAGGTATTGTTTTCAATTTATACAATATATGGAACAGATTTAAGTAATTATGCACTAAGAAACCGGGTCCCGATCCGCAAAGCGTTCGCAGCCTCAGGAACCAGTTATATTCTTAGACCAGTTATATTCTTAAACATGTCACAGCGCTCCGAACATTCTGTGGATCGGACCCCAGTGCTTCTACTTACTTTGTATTTTAGCTATTACCCCTTTGTAATTATGCCATTACAAACCTTAACACACTAATCGATTGAAAACGTGATTAATGGTTGGTCAATGAAATATGTTTTTACTTTCAAGACAATATATTTACTAAAGTTGTTTTTTTGTTTTTTTTTACCACAAAGGGTGATCTAGTTGATTGCCACTACATCAGCAGGTTGCCAGTGATTTTGTTTCGTTCGTTTGTAACCTGTTTCTTACATCTAGATGAAGGTGAACAGACCTATCATACAAATGTTGCTCACTGAAATATGTTTTGCTTTCAAAACAGTACATTTACCTTAGTTTTTTGGTTTTTATGACAAAGGGTGGTCAACTTGATTGCCACTACATTAACAGGTTGCCGGTGATTTTGTTTCGTTCTTCTGTGGTCTGTTTCTTACATCTAGATGAAGGTGAACAGACCTATCATACAAATGTTGCTCATTGACATCTGAAATCTGTCACGTGTGGAAATCACTGGTGATGTTACTTGTAAGTACATGAATGGTGTCTTGTACCTTTTGTTATGCTACACATAATCTGCTTGCGATGTTACATACTATCAAACCAAAGATAACAGGATAATGTTGTAGTAATCCGTACCGCTTTTACATTTGAAACATATATATTTATATCAATCTAAAGATTGCTGACCCTTATATCAAATGACACTTTTGCACAAATGACTGTTCTTTATAGTTCCCAACTGTCGTTTTTCATCCATCTAACAATATCAAGACAAGGTATGGTAGTCACAGGGTCTCGATGATACTCCATTACTACCGAAGTCAGTGAACCATTACATTTGATGACATGTCTCAGTATGTGACTCAAGAGTTGAATGACCAAAGTAACACAGAAAGATAAGAGGCACACAGTGGATTAATGGTCTTGGATTATACACTTTTCAAACGGTATATTTCTGGTATGACAGGGACCTGAAAGCAATTATTAAATGCGTTACCTTATCTTAGGCATGATAAAGAATTTCTTTTTTATTTAAGACACTGTTTTGCTGATAATCGTTTATAAATACTACGCACTGTTTTATACTTGATAACTGTTATTTGCTCAGATTGTGAAGAACTGATGTTATTGTAAGCGTGCTTTCTGTTCGGATGAACTGACCAACAGGCTTTATGCCTGACCTTATTCATGCCGATTGAAGTCTATTTTTGTATGACTAACATTAAAAGTGCCTATTTAAAATTAAAAGAAAACGAAAAGTATATGTGAAATCTGAAACCATATTTCCATTTCACATTAGTTACACGTCTTCCTTCAACTTCGTACATGTACATATTTGGTTAAAACTCAAGCTTGGTCTAAAACCTCCTCAAATCGATATATCATGAGACTGGAATATGTTGTATAATTGACTATTAAGAAATTAGTGGGTTTTTTTAAATTAACGCCATTGTGTGTGTGAATATCGATGTTTGTTTTTGTGCTTATGTTTGTAAATAGGTGTGTTATTTATCAACTAACCTTTGCTTTGTTGTAATGGAATCTCCTCGCTAGGAATTATCGGAATATCTCGTTCCTTATCAAAAGACTTTTTATCGAGACAATTCATTGATATTACGTTCAATAATTCTTTGTATGCTACCCGTCCTTCGTTTGTAATCCATAGTGTGAAACACTCTTTGCTTGAACGTGGCTGTTCCGGATGGAATCGCCTTTGAAGTATAACTACCTGTGAAATAATACTAAACCAATACTATAAAACGATAACACGTTAATACAAATACAAATTTGATCTATTAAATGTGTTTGTCATTGAATATTAACATTGTATGCATTGTGGGTTGGTGGCGTATTGCTAGGAGCTTGGTGAGCAAAGGGACATCCCTTTCTGTGATCTGTGATTTTTTATCTGTGATTTCTGACAATATCCATCTATGTACATCCAAGAATTGTAAATATTTGTTTGTGAATTTAATCTGACAATATTTGTTAGGAAAGCTGTTTGGCTTTATCTCCATTTAAGATTCCATGTACATTAAAAGTCGTTGCCTTTCTGTCTGCAAAGGCGTATTTACCTGCAATTGTGATAACAGGTAAAAAAATAAAAATTAAATCATTAACTTTGCTTAAGTGATGATTCAATTATTTTGCCGCGTACTACAAACTCCAGAAATAACCAAGTCTGACACTTGGACTACACTCGTCCAATGAACATGTCTTTAATGTTTATAAAAGTAGTTAATGGTTGTTTCACGTTTTGGAAAGCACAGCAAAGAAAAGTGCCTTTTCTCTGCCAAAGTATCGGAATGGAAGGCGAAATATTGTCTCATTTACTTAAGCGTGTACAATATTACATATATATTTATACATTTTGTAACATTTCATGCCAAAAGGGGTTTCGATGCATGACACCCAAACCTATGCATATTTGTGTCTCGCAGACATGCCAGGATCCGATGACCATGAGATCGTATCCCAGATTTGACGAAGCTTCGATCGTACCCTATGTTTTACCGTGTTTTACTAAGGTCGTAAGACATCTGCCCCATGTCTCGCTTTGAGCTCCCAATTTAGGTTGACACACCCTCTTAAGTCTTAAATGCTTTTCAAACTTTTGTTGTATGAACCAGATTTAATTCTATGGTTTTAGGATCCATATTGACAGTATAAATAAGTTTGGTTGTGATGCCACCTTAACCAATGGGTACGACTTCCGCCCGTACCCCCTAATTTTAACGATGGTACGACTTCCGCCCGTATCCCCCTAAATTTTAACGATGAGGATTCAGGTGATATGATTTGACTAGAATGAAATTTAAAGGAGGATACGGGCGGAAGTCTTTCAAAGCATGGTTCCCGCAATATCACTGCAGTGAATAACAGAAATGGGCTGCACATATTGTACCCATTTGGAAAGTCGAACCCAGTCTTCGGCGTGATGAGCGAACACTTGAACCACTGGACTGCGGCAATGCCTACACATTATAATAAGGAGACTTTATATATATGTTTTACAAGTATGTAAATTGTTTTTATGCTTTTTTATATCTTTATCTTAGATACGTTATTATGAGTTGTTCTTTTTGTTTCATTTTTCTTGTTTCATTAGAAGACAACGTTTGAATTAATCCACCAAAAGAAAGAGTGCGTATGTGTAAAGGTGATGGTTGACAAAGAAACAAGATAATTGATGTTTTTTAAACCTTTTTTGTTCGTATTTTAAGTAAGGGTTTTGTCTTTCATGTGCTATAACAAGAAATAATTTTGCACTGCAATATAACTTCTACAAATATGCCATGTCAGTTTGGAGGTTGGCAGATTTCCAATGTTAAATAAACTATGTCAACTTACTGACGAATCTGTTCTCTGTACATGCTCTATATATACAATGAAAAAACGTAATATTCCGTTTTGGGGAGATATTGTTTGGGAACTAAGTTTTATAACTGTACATTTGTGGTGTGTACTCCTGTGCGTATAATAATAATAATAATAATAATAATGCACATTTATAATGCGCCTTTTCCACGCCCTTGGGTATGCTCAAAGCGCTACAAAGATGAAGATGGGTGAAGTTATGAGAAGTATACTGAGAAAAGGTGGGTTTTCAGTTTTGCTTTAAAACTATCAAAACTGTCAGAGTCTTTGATGTCATATGGAAGAACATTCCAGAGGGCCGGTGCTGTGTAGGAGAAGCTGCGGTGTCCGAAAGATTTCAGTTTGTAGGAGGGTATCACAAGAAGATTCTGAGAGTTGGAACGGAGACTGCGGGCAGGTACATATGGGTGAAGCAGGTCAGAGAGGTAGGAAGGGGCCAAGCCATGGAGACATTTGTACGTCAGGAGAGAATTTTGAAATCGATTCTTGCCTTGACTGGAAGCCAGTGGAGTTCTTTAAGGACAGGAGTGATGTGGACACGTTTAGAAGTTCTACTGATAATGCGGGCAGAGGTGTTTTGAATCCTCTGCAGTTTATCAATCAGATTGGAGTTGATGCCAGAAAGAACACTGTTACAATAGTCGAGCCTGGATGTTACTAGAGCTCGAACAAGGGCTTGAGTTGCTGCAGAAGTCAAGTACTGGCGAATGTTGCTGATCGACCTGAGATGGAAGAAGCATGTTTTGCTCACTTGGTTAACATGGGCATTGAACGTCAAAGAAGAATCAATGTGAACGCCAAGATTCCTCACAACATCTGATGGACGGATATCCGCATCTGCAACTTTGAGGGTGACAGCATCCACCTTGCTTAGTTGTTGTCTTGTGCCCACAAGGAGTGCTTCGGTTTTCGTGTCATTCAGCTTGAGCTTGTTTGTAGTCATCCATGACTTTATGTCTAGTGTACAGTCAGCGATGCGTTGAAGAGACTCATTCAACTCTGATGGGTGAAACGATTCCAGAAGCTGGGTGTCATCAGCATAAACATGATGAGACATATCATGATCACTGACAATGTATCCAACATGCCCTGTGTACAACACAAACAGAACCGGGCCAAGAACCGATCCTTGGGGCACTCCACAGGAGACAGCCGCAGTTGGAGAGCGCTCTCTGCCCACAAGGACCGATTGATGCCGACCTGTCAGGTAAGAGGAAACCCACTGAAGGACAAGGTCACTCAGTCCATAATGATGCTGCAATCTAGTCAGGAGTTTAGGGTGGTCAACGGTGTCGAAAGCCGCGGATAAGTCCAACATGACCAGAGCTGAAATCTTACCCTCGTCAGTGGCACGTTGAAGTTTGTCAGTTACATGAAGCAGTGCTGTCTCTGTACTGTAGTACTGCCGGTAGGCAGACTGGAATGAATCAAGGAGATCATGACTTAACAGATGTTCTTTGAGACAGGAGTGAACTGCTTTCTCAATGATTTTGGATATGAAAGACAAGTTTGAGACAGGCCGAAAGTTTCTCAGATCTTGAGGATCCAAGCCAGACTTTTTCAATAGTGGTCTGACCACCGCCCCCTTGAAACTGTTTGGGAACAGACCGTTCTGAAGACTTATATTGACAATCTTAGTGATGGGTGAAATCAGTAGGTCCAGATGCTTTATTAGAAGTTTGGTTGGAATGGGGTCAGAGTCACAAGAAGTGGGTTTTGATGAACGAATGAGTTGTTCTATTTCCTTGGGACTAAATGTTCTGAAATATGACAGGGGGTCACCTTCAAACATTGGTTCACTGTAATCGCCATCACAGGCAAGACCATGACGAATTTTCTCAATTTTTGCGATAAAGAAGGAATTGAACGAGTTTGCCAGTTCCTTCTGTTCCTCTGCTGGAGACTGAGTATCTTGTTCTCGTCCCTTTCCAAGCAGTTTGCCCATGAGCCGATAAAGGGATGCTGGCTTACCCATGCTGTCGGTTATGCTCTTGAGACAATAGTTCCTTTTAGCCGAAATTATCAATCGTCTGGTATCATTGCAACACTGCCGATATATTTGCCGATGTATTTCTAGCCGAGTACTGCGCCATTTTCTCTCTGCTCTGCGCCGTAGACACTTCGAGTGACGTACAGCCTCGTCATACCATGGGGCATGAGGACGAAGGATAACCTTCTTCTCAACTGTAGGAGCGTGCTTATCCAGAAGTGATGTAAGAGTATCACAGAAGAGTTGAACAAGTTCATCAACGTCAGAAGGAGGATCACTCAGTAATTTAGAGGTCAGTAAATCAAGCCTGAAAGTCTCGGATGGAATTTTACTGATGTTTCGACAAGGTAAAACCAATCGCTCATTCTCTGGCTTTGCCAGCTTTAAGTTGAAGAAGACACTGAAGTGGTCCGAAATCTGCTGGTCCTTGACCTGAACGTCACCAACAAGTTTGAGATCACTGTGTGTGATAACCCAGTCCAGAATATTTCCGGACTTATGAGTTGGCATGATGACATGCTGAGTCAACGAGTGAGAGTTCATGAGCTTGACAAACTTCTTTACCTCTGGTTTTTCCTGAGAATTGAAATGTATGTTAAAATCACCAAGGTAAATTGTACAGCTTCTGGAGTGTGATGCAAACAGGGCAGATAACTCTTGATGAAAGTCTTTGTTTGACAGTTTGTTTTGACGGAGGGTGGGGACGATAAATACAGACCAGTCTCACAGTAGTCTGTCCAGATGTCAACATTACCTCCATCTTTCAAAAGATTTAAGACTACTGTTTAAATCTGTAAGACGAATTGTGAGTGTTTTCCTGTAGAGAATCGCAAGACCACCACCTTTAGAGTCGAGTCGTGGATGATGCACGAAGGAATGAGACATTGGCGTCATTTCAGCTATCGTAGTCTCATCACCAACATTCCTCAGCCAGGTCTCTGTGAGAATTAGCACATCAATATCATCATCAATGATCATATCAAAGATATCTACAGGTTTATTACGAGATGACTGGGCATTCCAAAGGCACATTCTAAGACATTTTGGGGGAGCATGAGGGTGTACTTGGATGAGATTGTTGTGGTTAGCACCACGACAGGACACAGTTGTTGAAACATTTGGGAAAACATTGTGACACACAGCAATTTTCCTTTTAATTTTCCTTCCTGCTCTGTTTCCTCTCTTGGTTCTCTTGCTGACTGAGATCCCAGCATTGCGTAATGTTGTCAGGAGTGAGGCGTCGATATGATGATGTAAGACTCCACTCCCACCCGGGGCACAGGGTGAGCAACCTGGGCTGGCTGGTTGATTGAGAGACAAAAGATCTTCCCTGCTGTAGACACCATATAGGTGAGGTTGATTAACAGTCATTGTGATCTGGGTGCTTTGGGCTTGGGGAGAGATTGATAGCCAAGGCCAGAATGTGAATATTCCCATACACAGTAATGTGAAAAACATCAAATAACTCCACATATTGACAGTTTTGAAGTCTGAAATTTCACACAAATGATCATGGTAATGTTAGGGACATCTCTGACAAATTTTGTCAGTGTAGCAGGTATATATCCACAAAAGTATCAACAGATTGCGGCTGCCTAGCGCGACCAGCGAAAAATAACTTTTACCGTGGGTGACCGTGTTTGGCAGCTTGACTCCTGAGAGTTTCTAGGACCTCAGTCCTGCCCCACAACGAAGCACACATGATACATGTGCTCTCACCTTAGGCAAGTGAGTTTGCTCAAGATTGCGCCAAGAAATCAGGAGGTACCAAACCAAGGGCACCGAGAACAATGGGGAACCTGATGACAGTGTACTTTGGATGCAAGCGAGACATTTCAAAGGCGTGGTCCGCATATTTAGCGTTGCTGTCAAAAGGGACAGAAAATTCAATGATATAAATAAATTCATTGGCTTTATCAAAAAGGACAAGATCAGGTTTGTTGGCTGGAATTCTTCTGAGGCTATATATGGGCCTATTCCACAGAGGTTTGAAAGCAGCATTTTCCATGACGCCCTGGACATGTTAAGGGTCGTACCATGGATGGACCTCAGAGTCAAAGCCACAGGCATGGCGGAGACGGTAGTAAAAGCAACGAACCATGCCATTAATGTCTTTTAAGATAATTTGTACCAAACAAGGCATGCACTGACAAGGTGTTGGACAGTCTGCGTAAATTCATTAGACAGTCAACATTTCATTTTAATATTTCCTTTAATAATTACATTTAAGCGATTGCGAGTGGGAAGTGACTGGTCCTGAGGAGCAAAAAGAAAGCCCTCAGTTTATCAGCCATCACTGTACCGTCCAGCAGTACACTGCCATCAACAAAATCAACCTCAAATTTCAGATTCTGTCCAACAACATTG